TCTCTCTCTCTCTCTCTCTCTCTCTCTCTCTCTCTCTCTCTCTCCTTGGGCTTCCCTATTCACTGAGACACAACAATATTGAAATTAGGCCAATTAATAATCCTACAATGATCTCTAAATGTTTAAGAGAAAGGAAGTCAGTCAATGTGGCAAACTTCCTGGTTGTCTTACTTTAAGAAATTGCCATACCCACCCCACCCCTCAGCAGCCACCACTCTGATCAGTCAGCAGCCATCAACATTGAGGCAAGATTCTCCAACAGTAAAAAGATTATGACTTGCTGAAGGCTCAGATGATGGTTAAGCATTTTTTAGGAATAAAGTATTTTTTGATTAAGGTATGTACATTGGTTTTTTTTTAGGCACAATACTATTGTAAACTTAATAGACAAAAATATACAATAGATAGCATACTAGACCTGGAGTCAAGAATATCTGAATTCAAATCTGGCCTCAGACACTTACTAGCTGTGTGACTTTGGGAAAATACCCTTATTTGCTCCTCAGTTCCCTTTAAAATGGAGACACACTGCAAAAGGAAATGGCAAACTATTCTAGTATCTTTGCCAAGAAGACTCCTTGGTCAATACCCATGGCATCATCTGGAATCAGATACGACTGAATGACTGAACAACAGAAATGATGTAAATATAACTTGTACATATGCACTGGGAAACAAAAAAAAAATCACGTGACTTGCTTTTTTAGTGATAATCGCTGTATTGTGGTGGTCTGGAACTGAACCCTCAATATCTCTGATATGTGTCTGTATTGTGTACCTAATCTATCTCACTGGTCCACTACTTTATTTCTTCTCCAGTACCAGATTGTTTTGATGGTTACTGCTTTGTAATAAAGTTTGAGATCTAGTACTACTGGGCACCTTCCTTCACTTTTTTTTTCATTGATTCCTTTGATATTCTTGACCTTTTGTTCCTCCAGACAGATTTTGTTTTTTGCTCATTTTCCAGCCTATTTCTTGACTTTTAGCTTTATGTTAAAGTTGGGCTCTGCTCTTGGAGTAGAGGGGCACTATCTCCAGTTTGAATTTTTTCTTGCTGCTATTTTCAGAGCTAGCTCTGGGGGACTATAAGTGTTTGGTTCTTCAAAGGTGGTATGATCTAAGGAGAGATGGGGTACTGCTTTACTGGCCTGTGCTGTGGTCTGTGATCCACCAGAAGTACTCTTCTCCATTATGGATCAGTGACCAGGGCCCTGCACTCCTGTAGTCACAAATGCCAATTAGCTAATGCTCTTCTTTGTCCCTGTGACTGGGATCTGGAACTGAGTATGGGCAATGCAACAGAGTCATGCACCCAGTGCCAACAAAGAGTTCCCATAATCTCCTTCTGACCAGTTGGCCAACCCCCTTACTACCTGTGGGTTGAGAGGTCTTAAAGCTACTGCTGCTTTCACTGATACAGCTGCCTCCAAGGAATGCTGTTGGCACCTTGGCACCTGCCTGCATGGTCTGCACTGGGCTTTAGGTTCAACTGTCACCCTGATGAAACAGATCTTTCCTGCCAACCTCCTAAGTTGTTCTAGGCTAGAAAATTATTTCTTCCTGACATTTTGTTTGTTTTACTGCTCCAGAATTCGATTTGAGGTGTTATTTTAAAGTTGTTTTGATGGGAATTTGGTAGAGTTTATGTGAGTCCTTGCCTTTACCCCTCCATCTTGGCTTTATCCTCACTCCTTTATCATCCCATTGTCTTTTAATTGCTAAATTGGGTGATCTTTTCTCAGTTCTCATTCTCCTTTACCTATTTGTTTCATTTAATATTGTTGATGATATCATTTCTTCCTGGATGCTCTCTCCTTTGGCATTTTTATGACACTACTCTCCTGGTTCTTTTCCTACCTTTCTAACCATTTGTTCTCAGACTTTTGTGCTATCATCATCCACATCCACTTAACTGTGGGTGCTTCCCCAGTGCCTGTCCTGGGACCCTCTTTTCTTTTCTCTAGACTCATTCTCTTGGTGATCTGATCAACTCTAATGTATTTAATTATCACCTCTATGCAGATGATTTACAGTTTTATATATCCAGCCTCCCCCCCATCTCTACTCTGAGTTTCACAATTACCATATCACTAATTGCATATTAGATATTTCAAACTGAATATTCTGGAGACATCTCAAACTCAACATATCCAAAAAAGGATTTAATGTCTTCCCCCGAACTCATATTTCTTCCAAATACCTATTTCTGTTGAACACAAAGCATTTTTCCAGTCTTCAAGTTTCATAATCTTGTTATTATCCTTGAGTCATTACTCTCTTTTCCCCCACATTTTTAGTTACCAAATCCTGCCATTTCTACCTCCGAAATATGTCTTACATCTGTCTCCTTCTCTCTATCATACTGCCATTACTTTAGTGTCTTATCACCTCTCAATTAGATTATTATTGACCAACTACTAATTAGTTTTACTGTCTCAAGTCTCTCCCACTCCAGTTCATTCTATACTTGATGCCAAAGTGATTTTCCTTAGGCACTGATTGGATCATGTCATTCCCCTATTCAGAAAACTCCAATGACTTCATATTGCCCATAGGATTAAATATAAACTTTTCTAACTTTTAAAGACCTTAACAATGTATCTCTTCAACTCCACCTCATAGATTCTCTCTCTTCCTTAAAGACTTAGCTCAAACACTGTTTGCTATGTGAAGTCTCTCCTGATTCACCATTACCAACTGCTAGTGCTTCCCCTCTTAAACTACCTTTAATTTAACTACTTTGTATTTATTCCCTTCATATTTATTCTGTATTTACTTATGTAAGTTTTTTCCTCCCCTATTAGAATGTAAACTCCTTGAGAAGAGGGATTGTTTCGTTGTTAATTCTTTGTATTTATGTCCTTAGGGTCTAGACCAGTTATGGTACTGTTCTAGTAAGTGTTTAATAAATACTTGATTGATTGATCATGATAGGTACTGTTTTCCATGTAAAAATATACTCTTTTGCCCTTGTTTTTAGTAGTGATAATGGGTTAGTACTGAGTCAGCCACACATTATTGCATGTGACCAGTGACATGCATTTGTGAGAGGATAGGTCAAGGCAACAAAGTAGTCTACAGAAGATTTTTTTTCTTTGTATGAAACCAACTGACTTTACAGGTATCAAGTCTGCAGCACTATTAGTGGCATATGCTCTAACCAAGTGAATTGACTACTCTAGACAAACTGATTTCTAGGTCCCTTAAATTACTCATCTTTTTTCCTAAGTGACACTTCTCACAGATAAAAGCTTATGAAACTCGTAACTAGATCAGTCACAGTCACTCTTGGAAACTGTCTCAGAGAGGTTATGATTCATTTTGGTAGAGAGAATGCCAACCCTAAAGATCCTTAAAGTATTAAGTAAATAGGGTAAATATATTCTTTTAGTATATTTTTTCTACTAAAATTTGATATTTATGTAAAAATTATTTTTTTAGAATGGCAAAATGAAAACTTAAAAGAATCCAAAGACCAACAGGATCATTTGATGTCAGAATTAGAAGAAATTAAAATGTCTCTGCAAAAAAGTGAGGTATGTTTTATGTTATTTTAAATATTCTTTATAGGCAGTAAAACCCAATGAACAGACATTTTTTGATTACTACTTTGTGCATGATAAAGAGAAAACTAAGGAGATATGACATAGTCCTTGACCTCAAAGAGGTGAGACAAGATCTAAAAAGGTAATCATCAATAAACAGTTACCAAACATTTATTAATTACCTCCTATGTCTCAAGCACTATATTACAAGTTAGGGATATAAAGATAAAAATGAAACACTAAAAGATAGTTTTTTATGTGTCAAATAGGTAATATAGGCAATAAGTGGATTATTTTATATTATTTATGCATCATTTGGTACTATAATTTTTGGAATATGTATTATATCATGTCTCCTGGTTAGACTGTAAACTCAGTGAGTCCAAGGATCATGTTTCCTTCAATCTTTTTGTCCTCTACATTGCTTCAAATAAGGCCCTGAATATAGTCAGGCCTTAATAAATATTGGTTTAAGTAAAATGGTATATGAATTCAGAGAAGCAAGAGATCATTGTGGGTTGGAGAAGCTTAAGAAGGTGTTCCATCAGAGAAAGGACTTCAGCTGGGCTTTGAAGGAAAGGTACAATGGTAGAGCTCAACATTTATTGTACTCCCAATGTAATACCAAGTGGATGTAGTATGGTGGAGGAGGGTGAGAATTAATACCAAAAGTTCTCCTCCCTACCTTCCCTTAGTCTTTGGAAATTTAGTTAGCCTTACTCTGGTACACCAATTAGTTCATTTTTTAAGCCTAAGGGCAATCAATATAATAATCCCTTAGCTCCATGGAATCTTCTGTGCTGTTTTATTGATTTTAAAAGTTAAGTTTAAAAGTTATGACCCCAATCACCATTGCTTAGAACCTCTAGTTGGGAAAATTCCTAACATTTAGATAGAAGCTTGGCTCTCTGCCTTAATTTAAACTTATTTTTATCTCTCACATCCTATAGTTGAGTCAAAATCCAGGTTCCTGAAAACATTTGGGTAAAGAAGTGAGTGAAGTATGTTATACTGTCTGTTAATGGATAGGCACCAGAAGGGGAACCTGGGGAAAGTTAGTAGACATCTTGGACTTCCCTTGGTCCATGAAGAAATGGGCAAAACTGGTGATATCAAGTCTTTTATATTTTATTTATTTATTTATTTTTGGCTAGGCAATGGGGTTAAGTGACTTGCCCAAAGTCACACTGTAAGTGTTATGTTTTTGAGGCCGGATTTGATCTCAGGTCCTCCTGAATCCAGGGCTAGTGCTCTATCCACTGTGCCACCTGGCTGCCCCTCAAGTCTAAGATACCTCTAAGGCCAATAGTCTTCCTTGATCTCTCCCTTCTTTGCCACAACTCAGTTCAATTTGTTGTTCTTTTTTCCTGTGGTCCTTATGTTGCTAATTCTTTCTGTCTCAGAGCTGGGGAGGCTGACCTTATTGCTGCTGCTGCTTATCTACTGAAGTCTCCACCATTTTTTTTCTTCTCAGTAGGAATTTCTTAGATTGTGTAAGTTCAGAGTGTGGCTCAATTTTGCCTTCTGACTCAAAGATCACAGTAATGCCAAGTTGATATTAAGGTGGGAAATTCTATCTTGAGAAGGGGAATGCTCAATCCTGTGAACTACAAATCCAAAGATGCCACTCAGTTCTCAAACCCTTACTACAGTTAATAGATATGAGGGATGTCACATCATACAGAGGCAAATTACAGAGACCGGAACATACATTTATCTATTTAAGCTGAAAACTTTTCCTTTGCTAGGTTGTTCATGCCTATAGACTGAGGCTGGTAGATCCCTTGAGTTCGGAAGTTCTGAGATATAGTAGGGCTAAAGCTTATTGAGTCTCCCACCAATATGGTGAGACCCCAGGAGTGGAGGCCACCAGGATACGTAAGAAGGAGCAAATCTTCCCAGATTGGAAATGGAGCAGGTCAAAGCTTCCACATGTATCAACATTAGGATTGGACTTGTGAGTGGCTGCTGTACTTCTAGCTTGGGAGAGAGATAGAGAGACCCAGTCTCAAAAACAAACAAAAACCCAAAACTTTTCTTTTTAAATGCATTTTGAATATGTCTTTTTGTTTTGTATTTAATTCATTTTAGAGTTCTCAAAAGATATTAGAGGAAGAATTACAGACTGCTGGCAAAACAATAATTCAGCTTACGAGAGAAAAAGAAGCTCAAATGGAAGAAATGAGTGAAGCTAAGGTTACACATTCATCAGTCGTTGCTGAATTTACAACTACTATTTCCAACTTGAAGGAACTGTTGAGAAGAGAACAGCACAGGTGAAAACAATAACAAAATACAACTTTAGATTTAGCATGATGAAAATTCACCTGCTTTTGTTATACATTGAGTATTTTCTACTAATTATCAAATTAACTTCTTATAGCAATTATAATTTATTCCCGTTGTGTATGATTCAGGTGAACAGAACATCAGTGTTTTATTGGAATAGTCTTAATTTTTAAAGACTTATCCTAGATAGGGAGGTATGTTAGGGAAAGTTCTAAGTAGGCTCTGTTTGAGGCTCAAAGGGCCTTGAATATAGCCATTACACAAACTTGATAGTATTTGTAGATTGCTTTGTGAATGACTGTCCACTAATAAACTAAATTGAGGATAATTTGTGAAAAATTACTATAATATCGAGATATATAAGGAATTGACATAAACATATAAGAACAAGAGCTAATCCCTACTATCCAAATGGTTAAAGAGTATGGATAGGCAGATTTCAAATGAAGAAATGCCATCTGTTAACAGTCAAATGAAAGAATGCTCCAAATCTTCAGTAATAGCAGAAATATGAATTAAAACAATTATAAGATGTTACCTCACACTAATGATATTTATTGTCAGAGATGACAAAGAACAAAAATGGCAAATATTAGAGGGGCTGTTAGAAGATAAGCACCATAGTCTACTTGGTCCAATCATTCTGGAAATATCTGAAACTATACTAGAAAAGTTATCAAACTATACATATTCTTTGGCCCAATGATACTAGTATATTAGGCATATACTTCAATGATAGCAAATATATAGGAAAGGTCTTTGTATATAAATGAAACTATTTATAGCAGCATTGTTTTATAGTAACAAAGAACTAAAAGGAAAATGAGTGCCCATCAGTTGGGGAATGGTTGAACAAATTATGGTATATGAATGTAATGGAATATTATTGAATCTTAAGAAACAATGAATATGAAGAATTCAGAAAAATATAGGAAGAATTGAATGAACTGATACAGCATGAAATATGCAAAAGCGGGTGAACAATTTACACAGTATCTATAATAATGTAGTCATTATGTATATTGTTCTCCTGATTTTGCTTTCTTTGCTCTGTATCATTTCATTGATATAAGACCTTAAAGTCTTATATTAATGCTGCTGCTGTTAGGAGATAAAAAAAACAAAAGGTAAAATAATCTCTGCTCCCAAGGAGCTCTTATACTCTATGGAGGGAGATAACATATACATATAATACATGTACACACATTTATACATGTATATATATACAGAATAGGTACAAAATAAATTCAAGAAAGTTAAATGCAAAGTAGTTAGGAGGGATGATTACTAGTAGTTGGGGAAATCAGGAAAGCCTTCATAAAAAGGTGGTGCTTAGGTAATGCAGGTTAAGGTTATGAAATAGAGAACTGTCCCTTTTGGGGAAAGTTAGTACACAGACATGGAAATGGGAGATGGAACATGTGAGGAACAGAGTCAAGGCCAGTTTGACTGGACTGTAGCGTCCTGGGAAGGGAGTGATATATGAGTGTGGAGATATAGGTTGGAACCAGATTGTGAGCAACTTCAAATCCCAAAAAGGACTTTATATAGGAGTCAGTAGAGACAATGCAGTCACCTTTGTAATGACTTTCCTGGGTCTTAATTGTGAATTAGCCAGTACAGCCAAACCTAGCCTACTATATATAGTGGGTCCTAGATCCAAGGCCATGCTTCCCATTCCATCCAATCATCTACCTTGCCTATAATGTTCACATCTTCACTGCTGCTGTAGGCATATTTTCCTTCCCTCTTTTCTTCCCCTTTCACCTCTTACTTTGGATAGAGTAATCAAATCAGTACTACCATCAATTATGGAAAGAGTGTTTCAGTTGACTCCCCTATGAGTCCACTCAGCAACCTTGTGACTTTCCAAACTAAAACATCCTTAAAGCATTATATAAATATTAGCTAATAATAACAATAACTTATTTTTATAATGTCTAGCCACTACTCTATTATACTTTATGTTTCAGGGTAGGATTCCTCTCTTACCACATTTAACAAATAAATCAAAGAACCTGATGAAAATTTAGTATAAAAACAAAATGCTTCATACCCTGTGATCATACTACTTTATGAGGTATGAATATTTTGATTGGGTCAAGGAAGAAAATGATGTGATTGACTGAGAAGGTTGTTGTTGTTTGTCTTTCCTTCTGAAGAGGACCATAACATCAGGGAGGTGATGCCATGACATGCACGTGAATTGGATTTGAGTGAGGGATGGCTGTGAAAAATCACCAACCTTACTTCTCCAAAGCCATCTGGGTCCAGTGGCAAGATATAGCTCAGGATGACTGGTGATGGCCCTGGATGCAGTGGGAGACCTTGGCCTTTTCAAGCTAAGGTCTTTAACAGATCTCAGTTTGAGGCAATGCCCACTTAGTGATTAAGGCTAGGTAAGAAATGAAGCAAAGAGTGGCCTCTTTTGCCTAGTCAAAAAAATCAACTTGAGAGGATTTCTGGCCAAAACAGAAATAATTGCTATTTACATTTGTTCTGAGCCTTCAGGACCCAAACAATGATCTAGTAGGGCTTGGTCTGGGTCTTATTGTTGGCCAGTCAACGAGAGGCAGATTGACTGAGAAGATCAGTCATTAAACATATATAAAATGGCAGTCAGTTCATTGGTGAGCTCAGTCCCAAAGTGTACAGGCCATGGAGGATTTCAGTTCTGGGGTTAAGGATTCTAGTTCAAGCCAAGCCTGAAAGAGAGCCACTCTTACGCAGAAGGTAGAACTCATTCTCTTTCTTCCCCTCCTTCCACTGACTATGTCATTAGAAAGAGAAGGACAAGGGGAGACAACTCATGCAATATGGAATAGAGAGACACACACTGAGGAGAACCATGAGCAAATGCAGACATAGAATGGTATAGAAAGAAAGCAACCTGAGGGAAGAAACTGGTTAAAGGTATGTAATACCTTGAACCAAAAAAGAATACCATCCAGACTCAAGAAAGGACTTAGAGTAACCAGTAGTTGTGATTTAATCTTTTGGTCATACATACATTGTCTGCATATATCCTCACCATCATTATACTCTTAAGTTTAAGAGTACTCTTCTACTTAGACTCTCTTAGACTCTGTGTGTACTCATGCAAGAGTATGCCCCAAAGTTTTGGGGGAGGAGGTAAATGTTTTATACCAACTGTTCTTATTATATTAACTTAGCGCTTTTCTAAAAGCTAATTAACTGGTTGCTAATCAGTGGGGAGCACACCAGAGGGGACTAGTACCAGAAAACCAAAAACCCTAGAGACCCTCAGGGTTGCTCCTGGATCCCTGAGAGAAGAAATCATAGTCATTGCCCTTTCAGAGCCTAACCAACTAGACAGTTTGAGTTGTGAGAATGAGTGTATTATCTCCTCCTACTAGTATGTCTCGTGAAGACTGGGACTATTTTGCTTTTGTGTTTTCATTCCAACAGTTAGTGCAGTGCTTGGTACATAGTAAGCACTGAAGAAATATTTTTTATCCATTTATTCATTTTCTCACATAATTCCAAATTGTTTTACAGGAATGAATTCACGGCTCCACTAACAATGTGTTAGTGAGCCTGGCCTCCATCAGCCCCACCAACATTGACTATTTCTGTCTATCATCTTTGTCAGTGCTGAGTGACTTTATTAAAGGTGGTTACAGAGGAGGAGAGTAAAAATTGAAAAACATGATTTGGAATCAAGAAATTAAAGAGGCCCTCACTGAAGCAAGGCAGTTCTTTTACATATTATTATTTGATTATCCCAGTCATTATAGTAGCTTTTCCAAACCTTTTTCTCCTTTCTCAAACACCCCATTGCTCCCCTTTTTTCCACCCTCTCAGCTTAGAATCTTATAATCTTGCCTCATAAATCACTAAAAAAATTGAGGTTATCCATTGAGACCTCCCCCTTCACCTTCCTCCTCATCTCATCATTCAGATGCCTTTCTTCACTATATTCTTAGCCCTTATCTTGCATGAAAAGGTGGCCTTTCTCTTTGCCAAGGCAAACTCTTCTACATGTACACATTATCCCATTCTATCTCATCTTCTTCAGTATATTGTTCCCTCTATAATTCTCACTATTTCACTAACTTTCAATCTTTCCCTGTTTATTGGCTGCTTCTCCACTGCCTCCAAACATGTCCCTGTCTCCCCAGTCCTTAAAAACCCCTTTTTAAAATCCATTAATCCCCACTAACTATTGTCTTATGTATCTCCTTAATTTCATAGCTAAATTCCTTGAGAAAGCCCTCTGCAATCAGGGCCTCCACTTCTTTCCCTGAACTTTCTGCAGTCTGGTTTCCAAACTCATCATTCAACTGGAACTTCTCTTTCCAAAATCAGTCAGCAAACATTTATTAAGTACCTAAGATGTCAGTAAATAAACATTTATTAAATGCCTATTATATGTTAGGCACTATGCTAAGTGCTGGAGATATAAATATGAAAAAAAGTCCCTGTCCTCAAGGAGTTTACAATCTAATGGTAGAAGATTACTCATAAAAGGAAGGTGAAAAGTGAGGAAGGGAGTGCAGCCAAGGAAACTACCAGATGTAAGGGCATGGTGGGAAAATCAAGGAAGTCTCAAAAAATAGTGTAGCCGGGTGAGAAATGAGTAGTTTTTTCTGATCCAAGCTCCCTCGTTAAGTGGAGGTTTTGGAGTTCATTGCTTCACCTTGCAATCAGAGAGACAGGGATTGGTGATGAGGGGGAGTCCTAAAGATGATGACATCTTGTAAGGTGATGAGGTTTTCACAATAATGAGCTTGCTTGGCACATGGTGGAGAAGTCAAAGCTGTCCCAACTTAGAGCAATCAAGTAAGAAAAGTGGCAAGCACTGTGCTTGGGGATACAACTAAAGGTAAAAAAACAGTGTCAACGAGCTCACAATCTTCAAAATTGTCATTTATCTCTTAATTGACAATTCTAATGGCCCTTTCTCAGTCCTCATCCTTCTTGACATCTCTGCAGCCTTTTGTGCTGTTAATCACCTTCTCCTTGATATTCTATTCTCTCTAGATTTTTTCCACACTTCTTTCTCCTGGTGGTTCTCCTAACTTTCTGACTGATCCTTCTTAGTCTCTTTTGCTGGATCTTTATTTAGATCAGGCCCACTGCTGTGGTATAAACAGTTCTTGCTTTACATAATTTCATGTTATGCAAATTCAACTTTATGTAAAGAATTCCAAAGAAATCCACATTCCAAAAAAATTATAAAAATTCCTTAATACAAAGCAGATACTATACAATAAGACACTGTATGATGTGGGCAGTGTCAATGGGTGGGAAGCTGGAAGCTTCTCTGAGTAAGTTCCCAGTTGTCTGCAGACAGTGAATGATACTGTTCCTTCCCCTGCATTCAATAGTGATCCCTATATTTTCACCATGACTGGCAGCAAATGTGCTCAAGAGGAAAAGTGAACTGTCGTAAGCATAAGCCAATAGAATTGGAAATGAAAATGAAAATAATTAGAAAATATGAAAGGCAAAAATTGTCATCAGTGGCACATGAACTTAGTCTTGTAGTATCGACTCTGAACACTATAGTGAAGGATATTGCCCAGGAAAAGGAGCACACAAAAGGCAGTACTTGCATGAAGTTGACTTATCTGTCAAAACAAAGGGAAGATGCTGTTCTAGAAATGGAAAAACTATTAACCACATGGACAGAAGACCAGACTTAGAAGAATATTCCTTTAAGTTTTATGGCAATTCAAGCCAAGGTTCAATGCCTCTTTGAAGATTTAAAGGTAAAAATGCAAAAAGAAGGTCCCTGCTTCCCAGAGCCAATCTTTAATATAGATGAAACCATCCTATTTGATCAAAGAATGCAATCTTGAAACTACATCTTTGTGGAGGAAAAAAAACTATGCTGGGGCATAAAGCTTCAAAAAATGGTTTCTCTTCTGCTTGGAGGGAATGTGTCTGGAACTTACAAATTAAAAGTTGTCTTATGCACTACTCAGAAAATCCCAGAGCATTGAAAGGAATCACCAAGGCAATATTACTTGTGCATTATTTCACCAAGCTTAAGGCATGGGGCAGCTAGGTGGTGTAGTGGATAGTGAACCAAATCTGGAATCATGAAGACTCAACTATCTGAGTTAAAAACTCTGGCCTCAGGGCAACTAGGTGGTGTCGTGGATAGTGTACTGGCCCTAGAGTCAGGAGGACCTGAGTTCAAATCCAACTTCAGACACATAACACTTAATAGCTGTGTGATTCTGGGCAAGTCACTTGACCCCAATTGCCTTGCTTATCCTCCCCAAAACAACAACAGCAACAGCAAAAACAACAACAAACCTCTGTCCTCAGATACTCACTAGCTGTGTGACCCTGGGCAAGTCACTTGACCCTGTTTACCTCAGTTTCCTCATCTGTAAAATGAGTAGGAGAAGGAAATGGCAAAACACTCCAGTATCTTTGTCAAGAAAACCCCAGATGGGGTCGTGAAGAGTCAGACGTGCCTGAAAAATGACTGAACAACAACAAAAAAGCATTATTATCTTTGAACAATGGTTTATCCAGAGATGGGGAACCTGTGTCCTTGAGGCCACCTTCTAGGTCCTCAAGTACGGAGCTTTGACTGAATCTAAATTTCACAGAACATTTGTTTGGATTCAGTCAAAGGGCCACACTTGAGGACCTAGAAGGCCACAGGTTCCCCACCCCTGGTTTATGCAATGCTTTATTCCCTAAACCAAAAAGTTATGTAATGATAATGTCATTCCTTTAAAGATTCTACTTCTTTTGATAATGCCTGAGGTCACATTCTCCATCTGGATGATTTTAATGAAAATGTAAAAATGATCTACTTTCCCCCCTAAAACTACCTCATTATTACAACCTATAGATCAGGGAGTGATTGTACACTATATTTACCCAGGGAATTGCAGCTTTGGGATGCTGATAAGGACTTGATGTTGAGAGATTTCTGGAAGTCTTATGATATTTGCCATGCAAATATTATATTTGCTATATATTACTAAGGTATGGGAAGATGTAACTGAAACAAGTATGAAGATAGTTTGGAAAAAAGGGCGCACAGTTCATTCTGATTTATGGATTGACAAAGATGAACTATTTAAAGAAGTGAGTAACAAGATTGTAAAATTAGCAAGATGATGTGGAGGAGTTGATTTCATCTCATGGAGAAGAACTGTCAGATGAGCATCTGAATGAACTTTTAGCTGCAAAGATTTCAGAAAATGAAAGAAAAGCTTTAGAACTTGAGGTCAAACCAAAAAGGTTCACAATGAAACAGTTAGCAGAAGCATTTCATCATTTGAGTGAATTTTTTTTCTTTTATTGAAAAGATGGATCCAAATACTTCAAGATTTTTAAAAGTTCAAAGTCTAGTTGATAATATTGCTTGTTATGATATGCAAGGAAAAAAAAGAGAGCCACTCTTCAGACATCTCTGGAAAGCTTCATAAAAAAAGTTGCCCAGTCACCCACCAGTGATAAAGGCTTAGGTGCAGTGGGAAGGGGCAACATACTGCACACCTGTGCTAATTTTACTGTATAGTATTGTGCATGCTTTATCATTTACTTTACCTTTAATGTCATAATTCTGTTTATTATCATGATACAGTACTTAATATGTCTGCATTTTAGTACATGTGTGACTTGTATAAGGTTTTATTTTGTGTATGCCTTTGTTGTATAGGCTAAGTGAAGTAGATGGGTAAGGGCAAATTCATATTATGTAAAATTGTTTTACATAGAGGTCTGCTGAGCACATTACTTATGTAATGTGAACTGTCAGTGTTTCCCAGAGCTTGGTCCTGGGTCCTTTTGTCCCTCTATACTATTTTAGCTTAGAGATCTCAACTCCCATGCATTTAATTATCATCCCTGGCTTTCTTCAGGTCTTAGCTAAAATTTGGTCTTCTGTAAAAAGTCTTTTCCATTTTCCTTCAATGGTGCCTTCCCTCTGAGATTACCTTCCATTTACCCTGTATGTATCTGTTTTTTACATAAGTGCTTTGAATGCTATTACCCCCATTAGATTGTGAGCTCATTGAGGATAGGGATTACTTTGTATCTCTTTGAATCCCCAGTACTTAGCACAGTGCCTAGCATAGCTGAGAAATATGTGTGATGAGCTCCTTGAGGGCAAGGACCATATTTTTGTCTATTTCCAATACTTAGCGTAGTGCCAAGTCACATAAAATACTTAATAAATGCTTGTTGACTTGACTGAGAAGTCTCATCATCTCTGTAGCATCAATATTTTCTTCAAAAATCCTTTGCTATTGGGCATGTATGCTTTCCACTTGAGATCATTTAGATTTTGATCATTTTGATCCTGTAGCCACCCACTGACTATGAACATATCTAAGATAGATAATGTTTATACTAATTCTCAAGCAATTCTTCGTGCTTTAGTTGTATTTTTAGAGTTTGGAGGCCAGTAACCCCCAGCTTGTAGAAAAAAGAGACTTTTCATTCCCTTAAAACTATTTCCTTTCTTCTCCCCCCAATCTATTTTTAGCTGCTATCAAGGGGGACTAGCCCAAGGTTCAGCTGTAGGACTCAATCTGGGGACTCTGGTGAAGAAAGATGAAGTTCTTCACAAAAACTATAATCCTAGCTTCAGCAGTATTCTCAATGTTTTTCCCTCACTGCACAACTGACTTAAACTCATTAGTCTGGGGGCAGTGGAGAAGGGAGAGGAACTAACCTTTCTTATCCTTTCTATCATTGTCCCACCTGCCCTGGCTACTGTGCCCATCTGCTATCCTGAATTATCTAGTAAAAAAAAATATGGTCATATCTTAATGTGCAATAAAGAGAAATTTTTTTTTGTGATTATAGAATAATAGAATTTTATAATTAGGAAGGACCTTGGTGATCAAGTACAAATCTTTCATTTTGAAAGTTTAGGAAATGAGCTCTGATGAGTTTAAATGAATTGTCCAAGTCATATAGCTAGTTTTCAAACCTATCTTCTTTTTAATAGGTTACATCAAGGGTGGGGAACCTGCGGCCTCGTGGCCACATATGGCCCTTTAGGTCCTCAAGTTTGGCCCTTTGACAGTGTTCTGTGAAGTTTAGATTTTTTCAAAGGGCCACACTTGAGAACCTAATTTGTTCTGTAAAGTTTGGATTCAGTAAAAAGGGCTGCACTTGAGGACCTAGAGGGCCACATGTGACCTTAAGGCCATAGGGTTCCCACCTCTGGGTTACACTGTATATCAAAGTGCATCTTATAGATGACACTGAGTAAATTAAATGCTAATTCTCTGTATTTCTTCCTAAATGTTTAGTTTGGAGTAAAAATTTAAGATACAAGATTATAAGGATATGATTTACATTTTTAAATAAAGGCAATATAGGATAGGATTCAGTCATTTATTTTTAATGATAAAATATCACATTTTCAAAATAAACATTTATAAGAACTGATAATGAATTAATATAAAATCCCTATTGATTTCAAAGGGATCTTTGCATTCAAATGAAGTAGGCAAATAAATATATTACTTAAGTTCTGACTATCTTTTATATAATCTGACCTTAGATAACTGAATTGTTTACTTAAATATATTTGTAGTTGACATTTTACATTTTTAAAATATATTTTAAAAGATTGGAGCAAAATGAAGAACAGCTGAAAACTCTTACCTTGGAGCTACAGAAGAAATCAAGTGAACTGGGTAAAGTTTAAAGAGTAACAAGTATGCTTTTTAATAATTAATCTAAAAATTAATTATTTCAAAATAAAATAGGTTAGCTACTATGTGGTTTCTAGTTTTTTATTTGATCATTTTGTCTAGCTTTAAGGAAATAGGAAAGTCTTAAAATCAACTCTTAAAAAAAGCTTACCAAGTTTTCCAGTTCATGGACTCTTTTAATTGTAAGGAACCTGAAGGGGTCATAGGGTACCTAGATTACTGACTTCAGGATTCTTAAAAGTTTTTATTGTTAGACATAGCATTTATATTTTGTATCTCACATGCATATTTAATATTTTAGCCATTCTGGAGAATTAAATATATATAGGAAAAATGTAAGTTTATCTTTAAAATATATGCCATATATAATTTTACATGTAATTAACAATGGTACTATCAAACTTTAACTGGGCCCTCACTGCTTTTAAAAATTAATTCCTTTTTATATTTTTCATAGCTGCTGTTGCAAAGGTTATCCTCTTCTCAAACCTAGTTTCATTCTTAGTTCTTTTTCAGATTACTATGTCTCCTGCTTTATAGAGAAAATTGAGACTAAATGACATGCTCCATGTTTTATCTTTTTGATATCTCAAAACCTCTGTATGTCTTCCCCATACTTTCTTCCTTTTCTCTGTTTTCAAAGGATGAAGTTACTCTGCTTCTTGCCCAAATTAACCCCTAAATTTGTGCTCTATCCTATCTCATCCTCCAGGACTTTGATCTATCATGCACTACCTTCCTATTCTGCGTTTCAAATCTTTTTCTACTGGCTTTTTAAAAAAAATTTTAATTTTTTTATTTTTAGGCAGTTGGGGTTAAGTGACTTGCCCAGGGTCACACAGCTAGCAAGTGTCAAGTGTTTGGTCTGAGGCCAGATTTGAACTCAAGTCCTCCTGTGGCTTCTTTCCTTCTGGGTAGAAATGTGCTCAATTCTCTTTCATCATTTAAACAAAAAACAAACAAAAAACTTGGATATTTTTCCCCTGCATTCTGCTGCATTCTCTAGCTAATTCCCTATCTTTCTATTCACTTTCACTGCTAAACTTCTACTGAGTAGTCTATATTCACTGTCTTTACTTCCTCACCACCTGTAATCTGGCTTCTGTCCACATCATTCTACTGAAGCTGCTCTCTATAAACTAACCAATAACAGTGTTAAATCAAATGCCTTTTCACTCCTCATCATTCTTGAATTTTTTGTAGCATATAACACTGTAAAGCTTAGCACAGTGTCAGGCACATAGTAGACAACATATAAATGATTATTTCCCTTCCTCTTCCTTTCTATTCCCATTCAATATTCTCTGGAGGGCTGTCATATTTAACTTTTCTAAAATTCTATTTAATTTCTTAACTTCTTTCTTATTTATTTTATGGTTATATTTGTCTAGATCTGACAGGGGTGCATATATGTTTAATATTGATATGAATTTATTGTCTATGGTACTTATTAAGCAAAATGTAGTTTACTTGTTTATCTCTTTTAATTAGGTCTATTTTTTCCCTTTGCTTTGTCTAAGATCATGATTGCTATCCCTTCCTTTGTAACTTAAACTGAAGCATAATAGATCCTGTGCCAGTTCCTTATTTTAACTCTGTGTGTATCTTTCTGTTTCAAGTGTGTCTCTCATAAACGTATTGTTGGATTCTGGTTTCTAATACATTCTATTATTCTCTTCTATTTCATGAGTGAGTTCATCCCATTCACATTCATAATTATGATTGCTAAACATGTATTTCCCTCTAAAAAGTATCTTATACTTTTCCTTCTGTTTTTTCCCCTGTCCCCTCTTTAAGAGTCTATTTTGTTTCTGACCATTGCCTCCCTCATTCTACCCTCCCTCTTATTACACCCTGCTCTTTCTCTTAATCCCTTTAAATCTTAGCTCTGTTAGAAAAGATGAATTTCTGTACCCAACATTGTATGTATGTATATTCTTCCCTCCTTAACTATTTCAGATGAAAGTTTAGTTCAAGTGTCATCTGTTCTACCTCACTAATTTCTCCACTGTATAAACTTCCTTGAGCACCCCATTTATGAGAGATAATTTTCCCCATTAATCTTTCTCCTTCCCCTTTTTCCTAGTATATTCCTCTTCCCCACCCATCCATTCTTCTTTTGAGATCATTCAAACATAAAAGAATCACATTCAGGTCTTCTGTCTAATTAGATTCCCTCTAAGAGCCCTGGTGATAATAAAGTTCTGAGGGGTTTTCTGTATCATCTCCCTATATAAGAATGTGAACCATTTAACTCTACATAGTCCCTTATGATTTCTTACTTGTGTTTATCTTTTTTATGCTTCTCTATAATGTTTTGTTTTTGAATGTCAGATTTTTGAGTAGAAAGCAACAGGAATGCTTGAAAGTCCTTTATTTTATTAAAGATCTATTTTTTCTCCTGTAAGATTATATTTAGTTTTGTTGGATGAGTTATTTTTGGTTGTAATGCTAGCTTCTTTGCCTTTTGTAACATATTCTAAACTCTCCACTCCTTTAAGGTTGTGGCTGCTAAGTTGTGTGTGATCTTGACTGTGACTTCACAGTATTTGAATTATTTCTTTCTAGCTGCTTGCAGACATTTCCTAAGTGAATGGAGAGGAAGTAAAGGCACTGGATTATAAAATACCACATGCTTAAGGAGTGTAGTAATAAAAGGAAGGAAAGAAATTGTATAATAGATAGAAGGAATATTAGGGTTAAATATTTGTAAGATAAAGGAGATTTGTAATGCTTGATAATTAATGCTAACAATGGAATTTGTTGATTGAATTGATAGTGGTATAAGAAAGTTATGGAGAGGAAGAGAGTAGAGTATATTTAAAAGGAAGGTATCCTTGTTGGAGTAAGGTTCTTAAAGACACAGGAAGGAATGGGGTCATGATAATAAGTGTAAGATTAGTTTCAGAGAAGAATACCATCCAGCTTCCTTTGAGATTATAGGGAAGGATTAGAATAGATATAGGTATAATAAGATACAGAAATAGTGATAAACTGAAATTAAGGCAAATGTATATGAAACAGTATATGATGGATGATCTTATAATAGATCTATTTTAAATTTATTAGTTTCCTATAAGATTATGTATTTGTCTATATTATATTACCTGGTTTTTAGTTTTTCATAGTGTCCTTAATCTATCTCTGCCTAGTGCTTCCCTTTTAAAAATATTTTTTTATTTCTTGCCAAATTAATCTTTTTGTCATTCCTCACACACAACATTATATCTCTCATCCCTGTGCCTTTGATCAGATCCCTGGAATTCACTCTTCTTCGTCTCCATCTCTTAGAATACATAGTTTCCTTTAAAGCCCAGTTGAAGTGCTACCTTCTACATGAAGTCTTTCCTACCCACCCTAGCCTCTAGTGCCTTCTCTAAAAAAAAAAATTCCTTGGGTTTATTTTATATTTATTTATGTTTTTCCCTAATAGTATATCAACTCTTTGAGGGCAGAGGCCATTCCCCTTAAATTATGGTATCTCCAATGCCTAGCACGGTGGCTGACACATGTGATGTGCTGAATAAATATATGTTGATTGATTTCCTCTTTCTGTTACTCTTTTATTTCCTACTTCTTCAACCATTTCACATATCATTCTCAATCTTTTAATCTCAGTAACACAATTAGTTCTTTTAATATATTTATGTTTTTTTATTTTAGAAGACATGAAACTATGTGAAAAGGACAAAGAAATACAACTTGAAGAATTAAAAAGAACCTTGGTAAATATATATGATTGTCCCTCTAAGTAATTTAGATGATGGCAACCATTAGTAGGTTGCTTTTGTCCAGCATGTTATTATGACTTCTAGAATTTTAACAAACAAATTTTAAAAAACAAAATAAAATTTAACAATTTTAGGTCCCACCTTTCCAAAAACATACTTTTCATTAAAGTATAACTTTGCTTTTTCAAAGGTATCCCTTCTGTCTGTCTTCCCTGTAACTATATTTTATAGCAATGAATAAAAAAGAGAAAGGGAAAAAAACATTTCAGGAAAACTAGTGAATACATAAGCCAAGTCTGACAGTGTATTTAATGTTCCACACCCATATTTCCTCTTTATGCAAAGAAAGGAGGATACATTTTCTCTGCTTTTCTTCAGGACCAAGCTTGATGATTATAATTATACAATGTTCAGGTCTGGAGTCTTTGTTGTTGTTGTTGTTCTTTCCATTTGCATTGTAATAATTGTGTATATTATCTTCCTGCTTTTATTTCTTTAACTTTGTATCATTTTATATAATAAGTCTTCTTGTGTTTGCCTGTGTTATTTTAATTCATCAATTCTTAGTGGATATAATATTTCATTATATTTATGTACCACAATTTGTTGAGAATTCTGGGTCCATCTTAAAAGAAGGAAATTATTATTTTTTTCTAATTTATTTATATATTTTTAGTTTTCAACATTCACTTCCACAAGATTTTGAGTTCCAAATTTTCTCCCCATCTTGTCCCTCCACCCCAAGACGGCATGCATTCTGAACGCCCCTTCCTCTAATCTGCCTTCCCTTCTATCTCCCTCCCCACTTCTCTTGTCCTCTTCCCCTTCTATTTTCCTGTAGGGCAGGGTAGATTTCTATACTCCATTGCTTGTATATCTTATTTCCCAGTTGCATGTGAAAACAGTTTTTAACATTTGTTTTTAAAACTTTGAGTTTCAAATTTTCTCCCTTCCTCCTTCCTTACCCACCTTCATTGAGAAGGCAAGCAGCTAGATACATTTTATACATGTGTAGTCATGCAAAACACTTCCATAGTAGTCATGTTGTGGAAAACTAACTATTTCCCTTCATCCTGTCCCGCCCCCTTTTATTCTGTTCTGTCATCTTTTGACCCTGTCCCTCCTCAGAAGTGTTTGCTTCTGATTACCCCCTCCCCCAACCTGTCCTCCCCTTTATCATCCCCCTGCTCTCTTATCCCCTTACCCCCTATTTTCCTATAGGGTAAGATAGATTTCCATACCCAATTGAGTGTGTATGGTATTCCCTCCTTAAGCCAAATCTGATGAGAGTAAGATTCACTCATTTCCTCTCACCTTCCCGTACATCTCCTCCACTGTAAAAGCCTTTTTTTTGGTCTCTTTTATGTGAGATAATTTATTCTATTCTACTTCTCCCTTTGCCCTTCTCTCAGTATAATACTCTCTCACCCCTTAATTTTATTCTCCAGATATCACCCCTTCATCTTGAACTTACCCTGTTCCATCTATCTGTCTGTCTATCTATCTATTTATCTATCTATCTATCTATCTACATAGAATTTTTCCCCCCAACTACCCTAATACTGACAAAGGTCTCATGATTTACAAATATCATCTTTCCAGGTAGAAATGTAAACAATCCAACCTTAATAAGTTCCTCATGATTTCTCTTTCTCGTTTACCTAAAAGAACGAAATTATACATTGCCCCATCTTATTGTCATGTTTGTCATATCAACAATTTTACTATGGTACAATGGAAAAAATACTGGCTATGGAATCAGAATATCTAAATTTAAATTTAAATCTTGCATTGGGCAAGTCATCTAATATTATTTGGCCTCTATTTCTTCATCTATAACATGAAGGAATGGGAATAGATGCCCTCTAAAGCCTCTTCCAGTTCTAAAACTATGATCTTATATTAATTTGAATGTGACATTTTATGGTTATAAAGAAGACTTCTTTGAAGGTTGTGTTCATTCTTTTAGTTCATGAGTATTTACTAAAGAAAGTCATTATATTTTGCGTATAGGGTTAGTTTGCATGTACAATTCCATTTTAATAAACTTTTAAAGATATACTTATTTGGTTGTGGTTTTAATTTTTATGCTATGTAGAAGGTGATAGTATTTGCAGGTTCAGATAATTGATTTTTTAATATGCCTGATAGAAAAATCTGGACCAGGACCTCCCATTTTTAATTTGGTTTTTATCTTCACTTAGAACTATCAGATCTTTAGTCTCCTATTTACCAGTGCCCTCACTGAAAACCACAACACACCCTTTTGTGAAACCTGTTAAATTTTAAGGATAGCTTATATGTCATTATATATATGTATGTACGTATATATATATGTATATAGTAAATACCAAAGTAACATTTTATTATAGAGGTTGATTTCTATGTGGACAAGAGTTAGTAAAGGTATCAGTTATAAATAATTTTTTCTGAACTTGATTCATCAAAATATATCTATTGTAATCATGAACATGAATCTTTTATTATATAGAATCAGAAATTATAGTGGTCTTTTTAAAATGAGATTTCCTGTATTAGGTGATTTCCCCTTCCATGTATGACCTTGTAGCACATGAAACTGTAATATTTACAAACAAATTTTCATTTTACTTGCCAAAACAATTGACAATTTTTCATAGAATCAGGTCTGTAAGACTATAAAGGAGCTTAGAAATAATCTCTTAAAGGAATCATAAAATTTTAGATTTAGAAGGAATTTTAAAAAATAATTTTGTCCAACCATTCATTTTACATGTAAGAAAATTGAGTTCTGAAAAGGATTTAGTCTTTTGCTTATGTCCATAGAGCTAGTTAATGACATAGCTGTACTTAGTACCTAGGTTCTCTTGACTCCCTCTCTAGTGGCCTTTTAATTATACTGCAGTTCCTTCATATTTATTTATTGACTAAAGATGTGTTTTGTATGCATTTTGTAGTTCCAGCCAAAGGAAAAAATCTTTATTGAAATTATGGTTCTGTTCACAGCTTTTGTTTGTAGATTTCATGATTGTGAATAGTTGTACTTTGGAATTCATGATTCCTTTATATTCTTAATTAGGAGGTAAATCAAAGACTTTTAAATGAAAATAAACATTTAGAGATGATTACTGAAAAACTGAAGGCAACAGAAATAGAGCTAAATGGGACTCTTCAAGTCAGAGAGGTATGTGTAATTATTTTGTTTCAGATATTTTTGTTAGTGAGGATATATCTTATAGTTACATTAATGTTTATAGACATTTTAAATTGTCTATTAGTTATCCTTTTTGCTATGTAACTACTTTACCTGCTTTTGTAGTTACACAGTCTCTAATGACATCCTTTATATCACTTTTCCTAGGTAATTCTAATTAGTAATATGATATAGCCTGCTCATACTCTCAATGTTCCTTTTTGTTGTCATTTGGGTGACATATCACTTTAAGTCTTTAGAGACTGTGGTATCCTATGATTCATAGCCATATAGTATCACTGAAAGAATACTGATGTTAAAGAGTTGGGCCTATGTTGGAGAGAGATATTAACTTGGTATTAACAATCAAAGGGTTGCTGAATTAAGTTTTCTCCATTTTTACACTTCAGGAAATCTTGCATGATTTTAATATATGCATGAAAGACATTTCGTTGGAGGAGAACCTTTAAAGTTATGTTTTACTATACAAAATCAATTTTTATTTGATTACTATATCAAAAAATAAGTATAATTAAATCTTTGTGTTCTACATCATTTAGTCAATTGTGTTGTCATGAGACTCAGGTAGTCTCACAGGAACATTTGTAGGTGAAAATGGAAAGAGGATGAATTCAAAAGCACAATGAAACATATTTTTGTAGTGATCTGTTGAGGATGGGATGGGTAATGCTAATGGAACCCCCACATTTGGACATTTATACCTCAATACTTGATATGCTTTGTACAGAAGTGACAATGCTATTTAAAAAGGTGAAATTAGGATGAGGGGACTGTTCCTGACTAAATATATATAGAACAAATCTATACTAGAGACAATACAAATTTAAAAGTACTTAGGGATAGCAAAAAGGAGAAAATTCTAAAGGAACAGGAAAGATTATAGGTAGTATTTTTACTTTTAAAAAAAGTGATGAGAAGACATCAGTAATAACTGACCCATGTACCTACTTCTTCTCCATGAAAATCTTTATGAAAATTTTCTATACATTGAGAATAACATTGATGAAAATATTAGCAGTAAATAGGAAGGCCCTTTGCAGATTATTTTCTATATATTTATGGTCACATAACTGACTAAAGACATAGAGAATATAAAATTTCATTGTGTCTTTTTTATTGCTCTTTAAAAAAAGTTGACTATATAGAACAAAATAACATCTTGAAATTTCTCTTCATGTAAGTTGCATCTCATGTATACATTAAAATATACAAGGCATTATAACATGATTTTGGAAGTGATTTTATACAACAATCTGCTAAGTATTGGTATCAAGCCAGGTATCAAAGAGAAAGACTTAATATATTTAACTGAGGCCTTCTCCAGTATAAGGGAAAATTTTCTGTGCAGAGTCCCCCTGCCAAAAAAAAACAAAAACAAAAACAAAAAAACTAACCCCCCCCCCCAAAACAGGATTCCATTTTGATGGTGAAATTCTTCAAATGTTTCCATCCTCAGATGAAATTCTTCTTGCTGTAGTTAGTCCTGGAATACTACAAAACTTCCTCAGTGAAATCTATAGGAATACAAAAGACATTAGCCTCTTAATCTATATAGGATAATTGAACTAGTTGAAAAGTGCTTATTACTTAAGAGTATAACATAGAGCTGGATAACCATTTGATTGAGTTAGTCCATCGATATTACATGTCTTAAACAGGCTACTCATGAACAATGAAACAAGCTCAGAATTGAAGAGCAAAAAGAAATAAGACTAGATTGAATTTGAGGCATTGAAAGCACTGTCTAATATTTCCAAACTATTCATTTTCATTTAATACTGATATTCTTTGGGTGATGCTATATGACCGTGACTCCTGGGACACTTTAATTTTTGATGAATCTAGATTATAAGTTACTCACAAAGATGGAAAGACTCATGGTAGGTATGAGTAGATTTTTAGCACATTAATAAGGATGGTTTGTATGCAAGAAGTGATATAAAAACTTTATTTAGGAAATATATGTCTGGAAAAGGAAGTGATCCAATTATATAAAAGAAAGTGCTGAATAGTGTGAATATTCTATTAGTACCTCTGACATATTTTTTTAAAAGAGAGAAAAGTCACCAGTATGTTTAAAGGATCTTATATGGAAAATGTGTGGCAAGAGTTTGGAATAGGATGAGAAGCATGAATGAGATTGTTATTTGTACTGGTGGAGCACTCTGAAAACTTCTCAGTTCAGTGAAAGTACCATTATACAAATAAATTCTTTAAAGCTTGTTATTTAAAAATTCCAATGTTTTATCTACATGAATTTTAAAGTAGTTATAAAATCTCACATGACAACTCTATAATATCTACAACCTATTCTGATACTATCTCATGGGATGGAGATAAACCAGTGTTTTTGTAGATTGTGCTAGAATAGCACAAACTCTAGGAGATGGTACAAAGCTGGAAGGTGTCTGAGCATAGCCTGATGATAAATTGTATGTGGGTGGTCTGAAGACCAGCCTAAATGAACAGATAAAGTATTTATTAAATTCTTATTATGCCAGGCACTGTGCTGAGTGCTGGTTATACAAAAGTAAATACAGAGAAAGACAGTCCTTACCCTCAAGGAATTTAGAGGGAAAGATAGCACACAAAGGAAGCTGAAAATCTGGGGTGAGGGTTTAGGAAAAGGAGGAGTAAAAGTCCAAGAGTCAGGAGAGAAGTGAGCATGGCTATCATGGGGACTTTCTCAAATACAGCCCAAATAGTTTTTAGAGAAGCCCATTATCAGACTGGTTAGAAGCTGATATAATTTTTTTGTCACAACTCATAATGACTATCTACTGAGGCATAGAGGGGTTGTGATGTGCATCAGAGGAGGAAAATACATACTCTGATGATATCATAGATCTTTGAAGAACTGAAGTAGTATTAGTATTACTCAGATGAGATAGTATTGTTACTTTTGGGTTCAATTTTTTTAATAATGAAAAAATTTTAAACCACATCCTATGTACTTGTATACTTTTTCTTTTTCAGAAAGAAGTACATGATTTGGAAGCAAAATTTAACGAAGCTGCTGCAAATGAACAAAATTACTCACAGCAGATTGCCAAATTTAAAATTGAGCTTGAACAGGAGAGGTATGTTTTTCATTTATTTGTGAACCACGTGTATTTTCTCCCAAAGTTTTGTTTTAAACCATTTTAGAGGGATTGGACTTGTGCTTTTGTTCATTAGGAATTTGGGGTGAAGAAACTATATGAACGCAAATGAGCACCTGCTTTGCAACTTATCATCTTAGATAATTGTCTGAGGCACTTGCAACTTATCTTAGATAATTGCCTAGGGTCACTTAGCCAAAATGGGTCAGAGGATGCCTTGAATGGAGGTCTTCCTGACTCCAAGGTCATATTTCCATTATTCTCAGATATTTCTCATAAACTGTAATCCTGTTAAACTTACATGAATATATAATTAGATGAATACTGAGCTATATATATTTTTCTTGTTAATTAAATAATAGAATAACCCAGTCACCCTCAACTGTTGCCTTTTGTTATAAGGGCAGTATTCTTTAAGGATACTTCCTACAAGTATAGGAGATAGGTGCCTTTAAATTCACATCTAACCTACCACATATAAAGCAACTGCTTCTCCTAACACTAATAGACTTTTTAGGTGGAGCTTCACAATCTCGATATAAGAGTAACTTAAGAGATGTCAATTGCAATTAATAATTTTTTTATTTACTTTTCAACAAAAAGGTTTTCAATTCAATTTAATTCAATTCCATTTAGAAAAAAGCCAGGTATTAAGCACCTAATACATGTAGGACACTGTGCTAAGTGCTAGGAATACAAAGAAGAAATCTAACCTAGTTCTATAAAGTTTACACCCTATGCACACAAATATCTATAATATAAATTAGAAAATAATAGCAAAGGAGAGGTCCGTGTAAATGTACAATCTGAGGGAGAAGATATCGCTTCCTGCCCGAGGAATGAGGGAGAGCTTCATGGAGAAGGTGGCATTTGACTTAAAGGAAGGGAAGAATTTTAGCAGATGATTGTTGGAGCTGAAAAGGGGGAGAGAATACATTCTATGGGGGATAGTATGAGCAAAGGCAAAGAAGTAGAAAAGAACAGGATGAAAAGGGGGAATGGTGAGTAATCCAGTTTGCTTATAATAGAAAATGTTTGAAAGGGAATAGTGTTTGATAGTTTGAAAGAAAGATTGGGAGTGAATTGTTATGATAGGGTGATTAAAAAATTAGGTAGGAAAAGGTACAAAGGAGCAATTATCTCATAAAAATGGAGTATGAAAGGAAGAACTAATACAGAGGACGCAGGTATAGGTACAGGGCTGGTAATGTTGGAATCTTACTCTCATCTGGGTTGAAGAGAGTGTGTACATCCAGGGAGGTGTAGAAGTCTTCTGAAGTTGTAGAGAGGTGAGAAAACTGGGGGACAGGGTAGGGGAGGGACTTTTAGAAGAGTATATAGATTAAGATTAATGGGGTGTGGGAAGAAGATAAGAGAGGGACTCTTAGAGGGCTGTGTAAAATAAGGAATAGGAGGGTAAGGAGAGAAGATAGGGTAAAAAAGAGGCTGAGAAGGAAAATAGTGAGTAAAATAAGATGGAGGGAAATTTGTAAGTAATAATTATAACTTTGAATGTGAATGGGATGAACCTGTATTTGACAAGTGTAAAGACAAGATTTTGGGATGAGAATTTATTATTTGGTAAAAAAAATTGTTGGGAAAACTGGAAAGCAGTATGGCAAAAATTGGGTATAGATTAATACCTTATACCATTTATCAACATAAGGTCAAAATGGATACATGACTTAGATATAGAGATATTACAAGAAAATTAGAAGAATATGGAACATGTTATTTGTTAAACTTAAGGATAGGTGAGCAATTTATGAATAAACAGAGAGCAAAGGTAAGTGTAAAATGGATAATATGTATTACATTACATTAAAAAAGTTTTTGTACAAATAAAACAAATATAACTAAGATCAGAAGGAAAGCAGAAAATTGTGAAAAAAATTTTATAGACAGTTTCTCAGGTAAAAGTACCATGTCTCAAATATATGAAGAACTTTGTCAAATCTATAAGAATATAAGTCATTTCCCAACTGATAAATGGTCAAAGGATATGAACAGGCAGTTTTCCAATGAGGAATTCAAACAATTTATAGTCATATGAAAAAATTCTCTAAATCATTATTGATTAGAAAAATGTCAATTAAAACAACCTTGAGATATCTTTTTACACTTACCAGATTGGTTAAAATGATTTAAGGGGAAAACAATAAATGTTGGAGGGGATGTGGAATAGGTGGGACACTAATTCATTGTTGGTGGAATTGTGAACTGATTCAATCTTTTGGAGAGCAATATGGAATTATGTGCAAAGAGTTATTAAACTGTCTATACCCTTGGACCCAGAAATACCACTATTAGGTCTATTTCCAAAGATGATTAGGGGAAAAAAAGAACCTATATGTTCTAAAATGATTGTAACATCTCTCTTTGTGATGGCAAAGAACTAGAAATTGCAGGGATGCCTGTCAATTGGGGAATGGCTGAACAATTTGTGGTATATGATTGTGATGGAATGCTACTGCAATATAAAAAATAATGAACTCAATCATCTTATAAAAACATGGAAAGACTTTCGCAAAATAATTAAGAGTGAAATGAGCAGAGCCAAGAGAACATTGTATACAGTAACAACAATATTGTTTTAAGACTGACTTTGAGTGAATAATTCATTTTGACTATTATACTCAAAATGAATTATAAAGGACGTATGAAGAAAGACACTATTTGCATCCAGAGAAAGAACTGATGAATAGAAGTATTTATAGAATAATTTTACATACACATTTATACATATACATATATATACATATACATACACACACATATATACATATATGTATACACCTCTTTGTGTCTAATAGTTACCATCTCTAGGGTGGGGGAAGGAGAGGGAAGAAAAAAAGGAAAAAAAAGAAATTTACATGACAACTTTATTAAATATTTAAAAGAAATAGCAAGTACATACATCTTTTTATTATACTATGTTATGGAAATACTTGTTTTATTACATAAATTTAAAAAAATTTTAAAAAAGGGAACAGTGTGAAATAAAAAGTTGAGCAGATAGTATGGAACTACAAGACCTTGAATGCAAGATTAGAATAGTTTAAGAGTGGGGCTCTACACTCCCAGCCTAATTAATTTAGTAATGGAAAGCCCAGGCAACTCAATTGAAAAAAAAAATGAAGTCTAAATTAGATTGCAAACAAGTTCTTATCAGTTTTAGAGGAATAAAGTGCTTTGATCATTGGATAAAGTCACACAAGAAATATTTTTGATTGACTAAAAGAATCTAATACATACCTCTAGCCTATGTATAAAACAGCAAGCCAGTTAGGAATTGCAGATATTCCAGTGGCATGCCAGTATTGTAGGGAAGGAACTCTAGTCAAGACCTTGAGAGGAAATTGTTTGGGGAGGAGGAAAGAATGACAGTGAGCTTGGGAGATTCATCAGAGACATAAGAGATCCCAAGAGTTACTAGTGGAGATAACCCCAATAGAGCCATAAACATGACTGATAACAGAAGAAGTGCCTGTTGTCAGATATGGAAAGACAGTCACTCAAGAACTCAAGTAATTGCTTCAGGGAGTAAAGCCCTAGTGGCAGAAAGAACTATCCTGGTTATGGACTTTAGAAAGGCACCAATCCTTGAAGTCCAGCAGAGCATTATAACTAAGCAGAACTTCTTGAGGACTCCACAAAGGGAAAAAAAGGACTTCCAGTAACCAGGAGTTGTGAGTTTATCGTTTGGCCATATGTTTTCTCCATATGTGCTTCATTATGGTTGCTTTCTAAATCTGAGCCCACTCTAACCCTATATATGCAGGGGAAAATGTGTCTCTTTTTTGGGGGAAATAATTTTTAAAAAACTTCTGTTCATGCTATAATTTTTCAGTAAATACCCTTTCCAAAAGATAATTGAAGGTACTGACTTTCCCCAATTAGAATATGTGATTCTTATTTTATTTATTTTTTATTTTTTTTAGGCAATTTGGGTTAAGTGACTTGCCCAGGGTCACACAGCTAGTAAGTGTCAAGTGTTTGGTCTGAGGCTGGATTTGAACTCAGGTCCTCCTGACTTCAGGACTGGTGCTCTATCCATTGCGCCACCTAGCTGCCCCAAGAATATATGATTCTTGAGGGCAGAAACTGTTTCTCTTTGGGGTTTTTTTATTCCCAGTGCTTGCCACATCCATAGTAAGTACTTAATAAATGCCTATTGAATGACTATTAATGTTAGTCATACTCATGAAGTCTCATACGTATTAGTACTAGAAACTCTACCCCCTATAGCATATCCCTAGAACACTGAAGGACAACAGATATCTGCATGTGGTGACCTGGCCCACCAGTGCAAGTAAAACTTAGAGAAACAGCCCTAGAATGAGTGCTGCGTTGTAGAGATTCAACTCGAATAGTCTGTGGTCCTTTTGCATTTGCAAGGATACACTGGAAAAAATTTTTTTTAATCTGGGACTCTTGTTCTTGGATACTTGGATAAGTAAATTATGTAAGTTTATTTTATATCCTGGAAGTTGTTAAATATTTCAACTAGTTTTTTAGTTCATTTTCTAGGATCCTCTAAGTATACCATCATATCATCTGCAAAGAGTGATAGTTTTATTTTCTCATTGCCCACTCCAATTCTTCAATTTCTTTTTCTTGTCTTTTCTTTGTTATAGCTAGCATTTCTAGAACAATATTGAATAGTGGTGATAATGGGCATCCTTGATTCACTCCCAGTCTTATTGGGAATAAGACTATTTTAACAGTCCTGAACTTATAAAGGCTTGAAAAGAGCAATAGTAGAGTTATGAATTACTTTTAATTAAAAGTGCTTCAAATTTTTTCACTATCCTCAAGCCACTAACTCTATCTACTGCCCCTTATTTTTAGTAGATAACCTTGCCTACTATTTGATAGAAAAAGTAGATTCCATCCAAAGATACAAGGTCCTTCAATGCTTTTCCTACACCTTTCTAAACTTCTTTATGTCCTCATATTCAATGATCATAAATATCTAACACTAAGATTTTTCAGAATGATTTACATACATTATATTATTTGAGCTTCACAATAACTCTGTGATTAGGTACTACAGGTATTATTATTCCCAATTACAGAAAAAGAAACTGAGGCTCAGAGATATTAAGTAACTTGCCCATCATCACACAGTAACTTTATCTACTTGATTCTAATTCTAACACTCTATCTGCTACACTATGAAGCACTTCTATCTTGCCAGGGATAACCACTCCAACTGTGCCCATGCTCCCACACCACCCTGCCCCTTCTTTCTCCTTGCTCTATTAGTCATCCTCTCTCACATATCCTAAATTTTTCCCTCTACTGGCTCCTGCTCTTTGACCTTAGACATATGCTTAGGTCTCCCTATCCAAAAGAAAAGAAACTCCTTTCCTTGACCCTACAAACTCCCCAGATTATCATCTTATCTGTCTCATCTCTTTTATCATTAATCATCTAGAAAGAACAGTTTACATTTAGTACAAGTTTTATGCAACCCTGAAAACTCTGTACCTTAGGCTCAATGTGGCTATTTGGGGATAATCAGTTATGTACCTCATAGTCTATTCTTCAATCTAGTATATTCTGTTTTGCCAGACCATAAAAAGATACATATATCTAATAAGAAAATAATCTAAGACACAAAAGAAATTAAAACAAGAAAGTAATAAAGTCATTCTTTGACCCCATATACATGAGTGTAATCTCCTACATTTTCCCAAAGAAAGGAGATTGAAACTTCTTGTGGAAAACTTATGAAAGCATAGCAAAACTGAGATGGATTCAATTAGGTCCTTGATGTCCCCTCAACACACTATCAGATAGCATTGATATTTGATAATTTCTCAAGAAATAAAGATGGAATCAAGAGAAGTAGCTTCCCTTAGCTCTGGGGTCGTGAGGATCTGCCTGGATTCTTCTCCATCCCTACTCATTCCCACAGCTCTAATGCTTTCTCTCTCTCTCTCTTTCTCTCTCTCTCTCTCTCTCTCTCTCTCTCTCTCTCTCTCTCTCTCTTTCTTTACTTTTATCTTTAAGTCCAATTCTCTTTTCACAGCTTCTCTTAAAAGCTCTGGACTTCCACAAATGCTTGGGCCAGGATACTTGGATAAACTTATATAATTTATTAGCATTTCTATATATTATCAACAAAGTCTAGCAGGAAGAGATAGAAGAAAAAAATCCATTTAAAATAACTGTAGACAATATTAAATACTCGGGAGTCTACCTGCTAAGACAAACCCAGAAACTATGTAAACATAATTACAAAACACTTTTTACACAAATAAAGTCAGATCTAAACAAATGGAGAAATATTAATTGCTCGTGGGTAGGCTGAGCCAATATGATGAAAATAACAATTCTGCCTAAATTAATTTACTTATTCAGTGCCATACCAATCAAAATACCAAAAAAATTATTTTTAAGAGCTAGAAAAAATAGTAACAAAATCCATCTGGAAGAACAAAAAGTCAAAAATATCAAGAGAATCAATGAAAAAAATATGAAGGAAGGTGCCCAGCAGTACCAGATCTCAAACTGTATAATAGAACTGTAATCATCAAAACAATCTGATAATAGCTAAAAAATAGAGTGGTGGATCAGTGGAATATATTAGGTACACAATACATGTAATAAATGACCATAGTAATTTAGTGTTTGATAAACCCAATGATTCAAGATTTTGAGACAACAAATCACTATTTGACAAAAATTGCTGGGAAAATTAGAAATCAGTTTGGCAGAAACTAGGCATAGACCAACATCTAACACTATATATCAAGATAAGGTCAAAATTGCGATGTTTTTTTAGATATAAAAAGTAATATCATAAGCAAATTATGGGAACATGTAATATTTTACCTCTCAGATTTCTGGATAAGGGAAGAATTTATGACTAAATAAGAGACAGGAGTATTACAGCATGTAAAATGGATAATTTTGGTTTTATGAAATGAAAAAAGTTTTTGCACAAACAAAATCAATGCAGCCAAAATTAGAAGAAAAAGCAGGAAACTGGGGGAATTTTTTTTCAGTGTTTCTATGATAAAGACTTCTCAAATATATAGAGAACTGAGTCAAATTTATAAGAATAAGAGTCATTTCCCAATTGATAAGTAGTCAAAGGATATGAACAGGCAGTTTTCAGAAGAGGAAATGAAAACTAGCTATGCTCATATGAAAAAAATGCTCTAAATCACTATTGATTAGAGAAATGAAAATTAAAACAACTCTGAGGTACCACCTCACAAATTGGCTATATTTCAGAAAAGGAAAATGACAAATGTTGGAGGGCATATGGGAAAATATGGACACTAATGTACTGTTGGTAGAGTTGTGAAATGATCCAGCCATTCTGGAGAACAATTTAGAACTATGCCCAAAGGGATATAAAACTATGCATACACTTTGACCCAGCAATGCCCTACTAAGTCTGTACCACAAAGATCAAAGAAAAAGGAAAAGGACCTGTATATACAAAAATAATTATAGCAGCTCTTTTTGTAATGGCAAAGAATTAGAAATTGAGGAGATGCCCATCAATTGGGGAATGGCTGAACAAATTGTGGTATATGATTGTGATAGAATACTATTGTACTGTAAGAAATGATGCTTTACTGAAGAACGATGCTTTCAGAAAAACCTGAGAAAACTTATATGAACTGATACAAAGTGAAATAAGCAGAACCATGAGAACATTGTACACAGTAACAGCAATACTGTATGATGATCAACTATGAATGACTTAGCTATTCTTAACAATCCAAGACAATTCTGAAAGACTTATGGTGAAAAATGCCTTCCACCTCTAGGGAAAGAACTGATGGAGCCTGAATGCAGATTGAAACATAACTTTTAAACTTTCTTTATTATTCTTATTTTTTGGTGTTTGTTTTCTCTTGCAGCATGGCTATTATGGAAATGTTTTGCATGAGTGCCCATGTATATTCTATATATCAAATCAATTGCTTTGTTGAAGAGTAAGGGGAAGGAGGGAAGGAGAGAATTTATAAGTCAAATTTTTGAAAAAAATTAACAATACACGTAATTGAGAAAGAAATGTAAAATAAGCTACTGAGTGAAAAATTGCTGAGGAGAGAAAGCTTGTTTTTATTTACTTTTTAAAATTGAGTGAAGAAGGAAATTGTGGGAAAATAAAAGTACATAATACATTTACTTCATTTTATGTTTTAATAGGCTAAAAAATAGTGAATTAACTGCAAATTTCAACAAGCTGTCACTGGAAAACAAACAGATGGCACAAGAAAGAATGATTACAGCCTTAGAATCCAAGAAACTGCAAAAAGATATTAATGTAAGTTGATAAATACAAGTAACTTTTTCTCGTCTGAAAGATGGAGTTTTAGTAGATTATCTCTAAGATCTCTCCTAACTCTGAAAGTCTTTTATTCTTTTTGGATTGGCAGTGATAATGGGTAAAAAATTTTGGTGAAATCTACAGATAAACCATAAATCCAATTTTACATCAATACATCAAGAATCTATGTTTTCATTAGCATGAGAAACCCTGAAACAGATCTAAACCCATCTATAACTTAATAAAAAGTCTTAGAGAGTTTCCTAAGGTGCTGAGAATCACACAGCTAATAAGTGTTAGAGGCAGGGATTAAGCCCAGTACTTGCTGAGCCCAAGTTCAGTACTTGCTCCATTAAAAGTCAGTCACCTACTATGTGACAGGTACACTAGGGATACAAAAAATGTAAAAGACAATCCCTTTTCTCAAGGAACCCAGAGTATAATGAGAAAGATACCATGCAAACAACTATGTACAAATAAGTGATATATAGGGTAAATTCAAAATAATCAGCAAAGAGAAAACACTATTAAATTTAAGAGCTATCAGGAAAGGTTTCCTGTGGAAGGTCAGATTTTAGTTGAACTTGAAGGAAGCCAGGCAAGCTAGGAGGCAGAGATGAGACAGGAGAGTATTCCAAGTCTGGGGGACAGTCAGTGAAAATGCAGGAAGTTGGGAGATAGAATAAGAAGGAGACATGTCACTGGATCACATAGTACACGGAGGAGTGTAAAGTATAAGTCTAATTTTGATCATGAACTCTCTCCTTATACTCTTGTCTGTTTATTTTTCTTTATCACTGGCCCTTCAACCTATTCCTACTCATTGATGTGTGTGTTCCTCAAGGGTATGTTCTTAGTCCTCTTTTTTCCTTTGACAATATCATTCAATCCCATGTTTTCAACTTCTACTTCTGTACAAATACTCCTACATCTATAACTCTGGTGCTGACCTTTCTTTTATATGCCAGATTCACATTTTCAAATGCCTACAGGATCTCTCTAAAGCATTTCAGAAATCAATACGTCCAAAACCAAGCTGACTTTCTTTTCCCTTAAAACTTTTCCTTCCTCTAACTTCACTACATCTTTCTGTGGCACCAGTACTCATTCTTGTTTCTCCTGTTCACAACCTTATGGTTATCTTTGACTCTTCCCTCATGTTTACCTTTGATATTGCTGCCACAAGAATGTATTTGAAGGGCATTTAAAGGCCTTCACAATCTGGCTGTAGCCTTTGTTTTTATACTTTTATATATATACTTTTTTATATTACTTTCCTTCATATACTGTAAGGTCTAGACATACTGGCCTATTTGATGTTTGCAGTGTGACATTCTATCTCCCATTTCTGTGCCATTGCATGAGCTACCCATCATGTGTGCAATGCTTTCTCTCCTCACTTCTATCTTGTAAAATTTCCAGCTTTCTTCATGTCTTAGTTCAAGTGCCACCTCCTACATGAGACCTGCCTATCCTGTTTATCTCCAGTTGTTAGTGCCCTCTCCCACGGAAATAATTTTAAATATTATTTTGTATTTACTTACCTGTGTACATGTTGCTTCTCCTCAAAAAAAAGTAAGCTCCTTGAGGACAGAGACTTTTGTTGATATTCCAGAGTAGACCATATAGTTATATCCCTGGTGCCTAGCACAATGTTTGGCACATAGCAGGCACTTGATAAATGCTTATTGAATTAATATTTAATTATGAAGTCATGCTGATTTCACTTCTGGATTATCTCTTTTATTCATACTTACCTCACTATTTCTATTATAACAATTCTAGTTTAAACACTCATTACCAACCACTGATACTACTGTAATTGCCTCCAAACGGGTCTTCATGCTTCTAATTCCCTTCTCCTTCAAACTATCCTTCATACCACTATAACAATTATCTTTCTTAAATATAGATTGGGTCATTCTATGCCTCTGCTCAAAATCTTTAATGGGTCTACAAGATAAAAGTTTAGATTCCATTCCTGGGTATTAAAGATTCTTTTAAGTTTGGCACCATCCAATCTTTCCAGTCTTGTGTTATTTTCTTTACTATTCTACTTTCCAGGCAAATTGGTGTGGGTTAGCATTTGAACTGGGCCTTGAGGGTTGGACAAGATTTCAACAGATGGGTAGGATTTCAGTAGAGGGAGTTAGCAGGGTTGTGGAGGAAATAAAGACAAGTTAAGAAGGGAGGCTGATAGACCTTGAATTTGGTGCACTTTGTGCCAAATAAGAATCATTTTAATGTTAGTTTTAAAAACTTTTGTATTTAAAATATATGTAAAATAATTAATTTGGATAACATCAATTATTTATTTGTTTAGGATAACAAAAAGCAAGAAGAAAAAATGATGAAGCAAATTGAAAATCTAGAAGAAACAAAAAACCTATTGAGGCAAGGAAAATGAGTGACTAAATATTTTGGGCCTATTATATTATTATTACCTTTTAATCTAACATGTTAATATTTTTTCTTTGTATATTGTAGTTAGTTCATATTAATTTTATATGAGATACTCTTCAACACTTTAAAAAAATCATTCTTCTATTGGAGTTAGTTCTTTCTCCACCTATACAAAGGTAACTGGCCAATATGAGGCCATATAGCCTTATAGCCATCAATAGTGCTGTCCTGTATAATTTAAAATGTGGGTATTTCTAGTTCATAAAAATATTTGTATCAAATTAATTATTTAGCCAAACATTATTTATTTATTTTTTTGATTTTTTTTTTTTTTTTAGGCAGTTGGGGTTAAGAGACTTGCCCAGGGTCACCCAGCTAGTAAGTGTCAAGTGTTTGGTCTGAGGCCAGATTTGAACTCAGGTCCTCCTGACTTCAGGGCCGGTGCTCTATACACTGCGCCACCTAGCTGCCCCTTAGCCAAACATTATTTAGACATGCATGAAAGAACTGGGAAACATAATTTGAATTATTCTAAGTGAAAAAGCAAAGAATAAGTTTAATTCCCATATTTGCCAGTCACCTTTGTATAAAGGACAACTCATCTATTTAGCATTCTTGTCAGTGAATAACCATTGGCCATAAGAAACAAAAAACCTATTGAAGCAAGGAAAATCAGTGGCTAATTAATTATTTTGGCCATAAAGAAGATTGAATGAAAGAGTTGGAGTGCAAGGGAAAGGATAGAGGCCCACTACAACCCATCGTTATTTTGAAACAATAGTTTTGAATGCACATTTTTCTGTCAATAGCATTAACTTTACTTTCAAGAAGCAGCACTTTATTGAAAGTCATTAGTAACTAGTCCTATTTCATTCCTATGAAATCACGAACTTATAATCATGTTTTTAAAATAATAATTGATTATAAATGAAAATAGCAAGAGAAAACGATGCTTATCTCTTTAGCTAGGTACCATTTTTTTCTCCTGGAAAAATGTTTTTTTCTAGAGAAAACTTTTCAATGTGAAGTTTAGGAGAGGAAAAAATTAATGTAATCTCATTTAAAATGTGAGTAAACTTGTCTGTAAAGCCTGATTTTCAGGCAAAACCAAACCAAACAAAACCAAGAACAAACTACCTATTAATATAGTAAAATGAAAAAAAAAATTCTAATTGCAGTTTTACCTTCTTTTTCATTTCTATAGGAATGAAGTGGATGCTGTAAAAGAGCAGTTAAAACAAAAAAGTGAAGAAGTTGAAAGTAAATTGAACGAGAGTGAAGAAAATGTATGTTATATTTGTAGTACTTGTGTTAATTGATGCCTAGCCTGTGACATGACAGACCGGGCTCACTCTGAGGGCTCTTTTCAGTAATAATATCTGTGGCTTATGCCTCCAGACAGAGTTTCCACTAAGAACATCAGGATTTGTCTCAGGGACTCCTAGCTCCCTTGCAAACATTCAAACTAAAAAGTTATGAGACAGAGGACAGGTTTTTTCAACCTAACAAAAGACTTTAATCTGAACCCTTTGACAGTTAGTAAATGTCTCCTGTACTTTCCAAGAGAATCAAGCAACTTTCCCCTATAGAAGGTCACATTTTTCCCCTGGACGTAGCAAAAGGTTATTCGTACATGTCTTTCTCTGCTGTGGTGATTATTTTTCCCCTTTAGAATTGCATAGATGAGGTGGTCAGCAGATCTGTCTTCAGGTCCAAGTGAGATCAGTCATTTCTATCTCTTCTCTTTTACCTTCTCCAGCGGAGGTTTTAAATCTCTTATCTTTTTGAATCCCTCTCTCCTGTTGAGGATCCTTCTTTTTTCTTTTTTATATATCCATATAGTATTAGCTCCTGTGTGCATGTAGTTCTCTGTATCATCGAATCACAGAATTTCATAATTAGAAGGTACCTCTGCAGTTATACAGTCTAAACCATAACCTAAAAACCACCTAAGTCAGCAAATACTCAGTCACCTTGCCAAAGGTAGTGACCAGTGGAAACCTTGTTTTAGACTAGAAACTCATTTGTAAAGTCTTCTGCAGAAGGAGGGGGAAGTTTATGAAAAATATTGCCTTGTAAATCAGAGAGAAGCATTTTAGAACAAAACCAGTTTTTAAAAGATGAGGCCAAAGACCCAAAGCAAAGTTATTCCAAGGGGATTTAAGGATGAAACTGGAAGGAGGCTTAACAAACAGATAAAAAAGGGAAAATATCCTTAAAGTTTTTCACTGAAAACTTTTTATGCTATGAACAATAGTGGAGATACAACCTTTGAACTCTTAACATGCTTCTTGACAGGGTGGAAACGGCACAGAAGAAAAGAAAGTAAAGAAAGTGTTAGACAAAGGACATCTGTGCTGGCAGTGACATCATTTTGAGGGCATCGAGGAATTGATTCTCAAATTATAAAAAGGATGGGACGATATTATGTATGTGGAAAAAGTCTCAGAAATTATTACCGAAAAAAGGCAATCAAGGGAACATCAACAACTATTTGCTCATATGTCTACTTTCATATACACATATATGTATATGTAAAACTATGGGAATTTGCATATGCATTAAGAACATCCTTGATGAGAGCATTAGATCGGAACAGGAGGGCTTTTGCAGGTATTTTAAATTAGACAACATCTTTACTTTCATACCTTTGACTGAAAGGTATAGATGCTACACAATTTAATTGTGTTTACTATTTGTTGACTATGAAAAAAGCATTTGATTCAGTAGAACAAAACACTAAAGGTTCTCCTCAATCAAGGTTTCTTCAATGCAAATGTCAAAATTATGTAAGAGTCCTTGAAAGATAGAATATTAGAAAGAATTTTATTTAACCACCCCCTGATAATTGAATGAGGCTTAAAACATGGAGATACATGTTTGCTAAAGGTGTTTGCCACTATCATGGTGGTGAGTCAGCCCAAAGTCCACATTGAAAGGGATTGCTTGTAGATGATGAGGTCTTATAGATGCTGTCATTTATGAGTGACATTGTATTGATTATGTCACACCTGGGAAAATTGTAAAACTTTCCAAATGAGATCAATAAACTTTGAGTTTGGACTGACTCTAACAAGAAAAACTCAATATCTGTATCTTGGACAGACCCTACAAATGGACAATACTCTGGGCCTAGCATTCAACAGGAGGAAAAAAACAGATTGCCTTTGAGAAATTTCGAAGTTCTTTGAATGATTCTAAGCTTCTTCCTGAAATAAAAGCTCATTTTTAATATTAATATTCTTTTGGTGATTCAGCAAGACTGTAAATCGTTACAGTCTCCGAAGATCTGAAGTTTAATATTACTCAGAGGACAATGGAGAAGTACATGGTGGGAACGAGTTGTTTGCAACACTGCAACAATTTTAAAAGTTGCACAAGAGGAGTGGTGAAAAGAATACTGTTGGAGAAATAAATAACTAAAAATGAAGATGGGTCAATCATGGAGGGTAGAGCAAGGGATAAGTTCAAATACTTCATTGGTATCTCCAGGAGAAGAGGCAAGCTCAACATATTTTGTGGGTTCCTGTTAACCTATATAATGGAGGAGAGTAATACAAGTCAGACAGGCATGGATGGATTGTAGTCTGCATCGTTGGAGGGAATACCTACATTGATATGATTACAGTTTCATTGGAATATAAGAGTGAAACTACATAGCTACAAATCATGGAACACTACAAACTTGGAAGAATCAAAATTATGGGTGACTCAAAAGACAATGAAGAGAAATATGTTGGGAGTAAATGGGTTGTTGCATATACCACTGATGTGCATGAGAAATTGTATAAAAGACAACATCAAAATTGTAAAATAAGAGTTGCTTGTGAGAACAAAGCCAAAAATCTGAAATAGTTTTAGAAAGAAATTTGTTAGCTCATTTGGTAGAGAGAGAGAGTCAGAAATTAGAGGTGGCTTACTATCCCAGGTATGGGAAAGTTTACATTATATAGGATTTTGGCAAAGGTTTCTGCACAAGTCACATATCACTTTTAGGGAACCCAAAATACAAGCTTTGATGGACCCAAAACAAGACCTTGGTGTGGGGATCCCAAAAAGGGCTTTGAGAGCATTCAGGACGTGAAGGGAATCCAAAATGCCTTGTAGCCCTCTCCCTCATTCCTGGCGAGTTGTTGAGGTTAAGCAACATTCTGGGTACAAGCAACCTCTAATCACATAAAGTTGGATTGCTTGTCCTGTCTTTCAGATCCATTACATTGTCCTTCATGTAACCTAAGTTTTTTTAGGTTCTGTGCTTTTTCAATTTTGTAATGCTTTACAGGATTTCTCATCAGTATTAAAGTACTGGAAATACTTCTTGGTCTTTGGCCAGCTCCCTTTGCCCTACTTTCTTCCACTTTGGAGTCCAGAACTGTGTGCTGTTTTACCTTTAGTATTACTACTGTTATCCCTTCTGTCCATGGTTCATTTTGCCCAGATTACCTGTGCTCTGAAATAAGAAAATACTTCTTTTGGCTTCTAAATTACAACTGAAATCTACAGGAGGTAAAACGAAGAGGAGAAAGCTACAAGGGATTTCAAAAACTTAAATAGTCCCAGTCTTCAGTGAAATGTAAAGGGAACTAGGTCTTGATCTCTATTGGATTTCCTTTTTCAGTGACCTGTTCTTTTTGTTCTCGGCTCTGGAGTTAGCTGGTTCAATCTTATTTGATCTGGATGCCACTTCTAACCTGAGGCAGATTAGTTCTGTGACCTTGAGTAAGCCATTTAAATTTTTGAATCTTTGTTTCTTATGTGCAATATGGTGAAACTAATAGCACCTACTTTGCAGAGTTGGAAATATTAAATGAGATATTGTTAATAAAGTGATTTGCAAATGATAAAGTGGTATAGACATGTTAGTTGTTAATAATTATTGTCATTATTAGAGTTGATTGTCAAAGTTACTGGAGTTTTCAGCTTCTTCTAGATCTTGTTTTGTTTCCTGATGTGCGGTATCTGTTTAAGTAAGGCACATTCTTGTCCTTATGGAGTCTTTTTTCTGGACTTCAAGATGTCCAGAACTAACCTTGAAGTCATCCTCTTCATCTTCTCTGGCAGTTTTAGTGGCCTTAGCCTTGGAAATCTGATCATAACTTTGATCTGGTTCCCGCTGTTTAGTATGCCTGAAACAGGTTATTGTAATTATTTCTTCTTCACCTTTTCCCCTAGGTTGGCATTTGGTCTTATCTGACCTAGTGCAACATGCCATGATTGTTGATATCACCATTTCTTAAAATCTGTCTACATTTTGATGCTTATCTCTAAGGGACAACTCTTGTCTTCCTGTTTCAAAGTTCCCATAGTCTATTGGACTTTTTATTAAGTCCTGGTTTTCAGTCCAAAGTAGCCTCTAGATCCCAGTTTATCTTTATAACTTAATTGACTGACAGGTTTTGAACCTAATGATTGATTTCTGGTCTCAGATGACCACAATCAGCTCCCCTTACTTTCTAGAATGTCTTTGATGAAGAGAAGTTCTCATTCCTTAGAGATCTTCTCAGAAGAGTATGTTTCCAGAATCCTATTATTACAGTTTTACAGCATCAAAATAAAACTTTAAACATATAGTAATAATAAGAGATGGATTCTCCTAACAAGAAAGTGGTTATTCTTTCACACAATATTCTAAAAGTTTAATTTTTCTGGCTGATTTAAAATAATAAGTGTGAAATTTAAAAAAAGATAATATACTCAAGGAACATGAAAACAATTGAGGGAAAGTTTTTTAAAGAAGGATACAGAAATAAAATGGAAAGTTGATGAAATAAAGTTGAGTATTGAACTGAGATTATATAAACTGGAAGGCAAAGGCTACAAATAGAAAAAAAAGTCATTTACTAAAATGTGCATGCTTACATTTTAAATAACACCTTAAATATTTTTTTTTCAGGCCAGAAGCATTGAAAGTGAAATTTTGAAAAAAGATAAGCAACTAAAGGTATTAGAAAACAAGGTATGATTAAAATTATACATTTTAGAGTATAGAGTTTATTATCATTTTAAGGTTTTAAACCTTTCCAAGAATTTCTAATTATTTCACTAAATATCTGTGAAAGATAATTGAAAATAAAAGCACTATTTTGAAAGGTAATTAATTTTAGCATTACAGTATTTCATGGGACAAAAGATAATATTTCTAATTTGCCAGTATAGGACAGGAGGAACAATGTTCTGTGGCAAAAGAAGGCAGTTCATCTCCTCTGAGTATTGCCCCCCAGGCTGAACTAAATGGCAAAGCAGAGGCAGAGAGCCTATGTCCCCCATGATCCCAGATATTTTCTGCTGAAATGAAGGGACTAAGACCTAGAGTATTTTCTTTTCCTTGTGAAAAGAAAATCTATGTTAAAAGAAAATCCATCCCAGACTTTATTCCTTGAAAGACTGAGCTGTAAGACAACAATACAATTCTATGAATCATTACATTGAAATAAAAAACAACCTGGTACAGGACAACTCCTACAGCCTAGTCAGGATCCTTAGGTCACAGAATTGGGCATTAAAAGAATAGAAATGTCAAAAAAAATTAAAAAGAGAATAGAAATGTCAAACTCAGTCTCTTTGCGATAGATCTACACTTAGATGATCTCTACCTCATGAGAAATTTGAACTCCATCCCTTATTCTCTCTGTTCTGATAGGTGAACCTTTTGCCATATCTTATGAGGAATCAAGCTTACTTGAAACTTCCTGCAGTCTTCTCACCATCTCCCTGTAGAAATACCTTCTCCTCCTCTCTACTTTTATGTACCCCTTTATGTGTTATCTTTTGTTATTTGAATGCAAGCTCTTTGAGGTCAGGGGCTGTCATACTTGCTTGTATTTTCATCTCCAGTGCTTAGCACAGTGCCTTCCACTATTAAGCCTGAATAAGAAAAATCCCACAATTTACCATTTTTTAAGGTAGTCAATTTTAAAGACATTTGAAAATTTATTAATTTTCAAGAGAGGAAGATTCCAAACAATGGAAAGTATTGCATTTGTGACTTTAATTTTTTTTAAAAAGGTGACAAGATATCAACAATTATTAACTCATATACTACTTTTTCATCTCTGTAATATCTGTGAATGGTTTTGGTACCCCTTGAAGGTATCCTTTGTGGAAAAACATGAGAGTTGAACAGGCAGGCTTTTGCAAGTGATCTTCTATAAGCAGTCTATATCTTCATAGTCACAAGTTAAATGGAGTTTTAGAAAATATAAGATGACACTGTTTATTGATCTATTTAATTTTTTCCCTAGGTAAAACAAAATGTAGCCTTGAAACCTATCTTCAAACAATGTGTCTCTTACACAAAAATCTCAAATACAATATTCTTTCACTTATGTGATTATAGAGATAAGTTTGTTCACCTTGTGATTGATTATCAACAAAAAGTGAAGTATAAAACAAGAAGACATATGCTTGTCTAAGGTGTTTGCTAGTGTGGTGTTCTGCATAACATCCAAACAGAAGGAATCCCTGTTGATGGTGGCATTCTCCAAATATGCTTTTTTAAAAGAAATGTTGTGCTGATTGTGTGAAAACTCAGAACACTGCAAAGCCTCCTAAGAGAAACTCAACTGTAATTCAAAAGATATCAGCCTAAACATTCATATTAGACAAATGATATGAATGAAAAACACATATTGCACATACTGTAGCAGGAAGGCAGCTACACTTAGTAATTAGTGTGCATGTACATACACACACAGATATATACGCAGATGTAATATGTACATATGTTACACATAATATTTGCATGTAGGGTAGCTAGGTGGTACAGTGGATAGAATGCCAGGAAGACTCATTTTTCTGAGTTCAAATATGACCTCATATACTTACTAGCTATGTGACCATGGGCAAGTCACTTAACCTTGTTTGCCTTAGTTTCCTCATCTGTAAATAGAACTGGAAAAGGAAATGGCAAACCACTTTTTGCCAAGAAAACCCCAAATGGGGTCATGAAGAGTTGGACATAACTGAAAAGGCTGAATAACAATGTTATATTACACAATACATATACCACACACACACACACACACACACACACACACACACACACAAATCCCTAATCTTGTATTTGTAAAGTTGATGTTTGAAATTAATTTTTCATGTTACCTCATGGAATTCTTTAAGATATGCTTTTTAAGCAAAGTATTATACAGGAAAACTAAACTAGAGTAATTGTCTAGAATAACAATAAAGGTAGAAAATAACTATAAAATGTCTTTTTGTTTTTAGTTTAGCAATTTAAAAAAACAGATGGAAAATAAAAACAAATCCTTTGAAGAACTACAGCAAGAGGTATGCTTAATTTACAGGCAGTTTAGAAATTTAAAATGTTATTACAGCAATAATTTTAAAAACAATAATATTGTATTTGCCATGATTCTTAGGTCAGTATAAAACAATATCAGTAAGTATAACTTTGTTTATTTTAAAATCATTTTACAGAATAAAGCCTTAAAAAAGAAAAGTATGGCAGAGAACAAACAGTTGAGTACCTATGAGATAAAGGTATTTGGAGTTTTCATATTATAAAGTTTTTTATCTTGTAAAATGATGAACATTTTATGCTTATTTGTTGTTCTGTATAGACAGTTGGCCTTGGAGTCAGTGAAACCTAGATTCAGGTTTTGCCTTTTTCACCATGGGCAAGTCACTTTATCCTCTCAGTAGTACTCCTGGCAACTATATAAGACTTTTGGTTGCAGAGGATTTTTGATTTGCATCAGGGAAAAGAGTATCCATAGTTGGGGGTTTAATGTATCACATATCTGACCAACATGTTATATTATAGCTACCTATCTATCAAAGAGAATTATATGTTGGAACTAAGAAAATCTTTTAATCATAATGCATCACATATTCCAGAAAACAAAATAATAATTATTATATTAAGGGCATATCTAGATTACTGACATTATTTGAGCAAGTATTAGAATACAATAAAATTAATGAACTTGTATTGCAGATTCAACTTTGCCATTTTTTTTGATTAAAAGCAAATCTTTAATTTTTTTGAGGATCATTTTCCTTCTCTGCAAAATAAGTACCTGTCAGTATTATGAGCATCAAAACAGATAATGTACACTAAATGACTTACATCAGTAAAGCATTATGTAAATGAAAGTTATTATTTATTGACAATAGCAAATTAAAACCATTTAAATTTTCCTTTTTCATTGAATCACAGATTGTCTTTTTCAAACTAGAATAGTTATTAATTCTAATTATAAAATGTTGAATTATATTAGGCTGAAATTGAGTAACTTAAATTCTATGGCACCATCTTCAGAGATGCATTTAAAGAAAAGGGGAAAATAAACAAATGCTCAAACACACAGTTTTAAAAAGATAGATTTTGTGTAATATTAAATAATAGCATATGGAAAATATAATTTTTTGGGGAAAGGAAATTCCAGTAGAGTTTCCATGGAATATTAAAACTAGAAAAAATTAGCAATTATCTATTAATCAGCATTAAAACAAAATTCATAAAAGCAAAACATAAATGTGGACTCTTACCAAAGAAGGCATGGCACTTATCAATGGAAATATTTTTCTTTTCTTGTTATAAGGTGAATAAATTAGAGTCAGAGCTAGGTGATGCTAACAAAAATTTTGAGGAAATGACTGACAACTACCAAAAAGAAATTGCTAACAAAAAGATATCAGAAGAAAATCTTTTGGGAGAGGTAAGAAAAACTAAATGTGTGAAAAAAATTATATCTTATGATGATGTAGTTTCTTCCTGTTCTCAAAAGGAAAGGGTTTGCTGTTCTTAATAAATTTGAGAAACTGATTATGGAAATAATTTAAACACTTGGTATTAAATTTATATAAGGTAGTTCCTTGGGTCTATTAAATGATAATTTTATAGTAATTCAAAGTATAGCTATCATTTATGCCCAAATTTTTGTGTAGGGATTAAGTTGCAGTGAAGTTATTTTACTTCTTTTTCAAAGGACTATGCTCACAGAATCCTACTATTGACCTAGGCAAATGAAATCTTTTAAAAAAATAATGTTCAATTAGTGGGTTGGTTTATTATAACAACTTAGAGTGGTTTTTCTCAAAATCCAAACACTATAAATTCAAACTATTATAAAACATAAGTCCAATTTTAAACTTAATTATGCACAATCATAATATATTTAATGGCTAGTAAGTAAATCAAAGCTATTATGTACTCTGAAGGATCATTAGTAAATTGATGAAATAGGCACTATTTATAATTCATTTATGAAGCATTTATATAGACACTGTAGCTTGAGGCTATGTAGAAAATATTGGTTGACCTTTGAATCTTGTTCAGTGGGAACAATCAAATGCATAACTGTTTACTTGTGAAAGTAAAAACTAGCTCAGGCAAATAATTGAACTTCATAATAAAAACACAAATAGGGCAAAGCTAGTGAATTTTCTAATCTTCTTGATAGCCTTGACTTTAAATTTGTAATGTAGATGATAGAACATATATGTTATTGTGTGGTTTTGTTCAAATAAAATTAATCTATTGCTTATATATTTTATTTATAATTTTAATTAATAGGTTGAAAAAGCAAAGGTGATAGCAGATGAAGCTGTTAAACTACAAAAAGAAATTGATATAAGATGTCAGCATAAAATTGCTGAAATGGTAGCACTTATGGAAAAACATAAGGTAATTTTAAATTTTTATTTAGATTTTAAATTCTTTTGATATACTTGTTTAAAGTAATGACATTAATAAGAATGAGAATACCCATAAGAGAAAATTATATCCATACAACAATTGTCTTTTTTTATATAATACTTTAGCAATGTTTTCAGCTAGTCATTTAAAAAAATTAATCACCCATTGTGTAATAACCATTAAGGTTTTCTTTAGATTTAATTTGCCCATTCATAGTTAGAAATTTATTCTGGTATGCAGCAATATGAGTACTGTTGTGATTCTAAATAACATCTTTTAATTGTTGAAGTTCTGTTACACATATAGGAGAATAATTTGTTCTTACCTTTTTGTTCAGTTTCATGTTGATTTAGCCATGACATACTCTTTATTATATATTGGATTGGCAATATGGAAACTTTTTGAACTGGAAATCTGTGAAGCATATAACCTAAAGACAATCATATGTATCTGTGAGATTTTTAAACATGTTCTACCAATGTTAACTTTCGTTTATTGCATAAAGCTTAGTAAGTGTTAGATTTTGTTATTTTTTCATGTATGACTTCTCTGTTTTATGTAGGATCAATATGATAAAATAGTTGAAGAGAGAGATACAGAATTAGGACTGTATAAGAGCAAAGAGCAAGAGCAGTCACTGAAGAAAACATCTTTGGTGAGCTCTCTAACAAATAGGATAAAGACTGTGTTTAATAATGTCAACATAGTTGCATTGGAAAGAGAAAAATTCAGCAAAGTTGTTTAGTTAAATTAATTTTTTGTCTACATGATTCTGGGATCATGGCTTCTTATAGACGTGAACTCCTATAAAACTTCTTTTTTGGTGCTTGTTTTTGTTTGTTTGTTCATTTTTTTATTTATTACTGAATTGACTAGTAGTTCTGCTGAGTTAAGTGGTCTCTTTTAGGGTGGTAAAGATACAGAGTACAAGAAATGCAGTACGGCATAGTGGACAGACAGATGGCCTCATAGTCGGGAAGATATGAATTCTAGTCTTGCCTCTGAGATCTACCTCTTAATGGCTCAGATTGCTCACCAAGTCTACAGACCAATTTAAATTGCATATCAGTTTAAGATCTGAATTGACAAAAGTTGTTCTTCAGTGGTAGTTTCCCATAATGACAAAGAGTAAAAAAAAAAATCCATATAACTTTTTAAGGAATGGAAATAGATTTTTAAACTTCTATTCTCCCATCAACTTTTTGGCAGGAAATTACAATAGCGCTTATGAACCTATGATGATTTAGTCTTCTACAAAATACAAGCTCAACTAGGTCAGCCTGTATTGTTACTCAGTATTGCTTTCATTCATATCACATGGGATCCTTCTAAAATTCCCCCCAGCAGTTTTTATAGATCTTGTACACTGTCCAAACATCCCATCTTTCCTCAGCTGATGGATCGCCGTATAGTTTTTACTTTATTGAAAAAATTGAGGACATCTGACATTAGATCCTTCAATTCACTTTCTGCACACTACAACACTTTTTGGTAGATTCTCTCTTTCATATCAGATCCTTTCTCTTTCTGCCTCCTCTAGAATTTGCTTATTGCTCTCTAGTGGCTCTCTTCTATATGATCACAAATTTTCTTTTCTTCCCAGTCCTACAACCCTCCTTCCCAGCCTTCCATCCACTATCATATTTTTTGTTCCCTTTATATTTACTGCCATACATCTAGTAAAAAATAGTTTGTACTCTGCCTCTACTTCCTCAGTACTCTGTCGTTAACTCCTTGAGATCTGTTTTCAATCAATCGATAAGTCAACAAAGTATTTATTAAGTAACTACCATGTGCTACTTACTGTGCTAGGCTGGAAGATACAAAAACAATAAAGAAACAGTCCTTCAAATTATAATAGCAAAAGTTTTATTACTCACCTTCTTTAAAGAAATTTCAGAAAGATGACCAAAGAGAACAGAGACAAAACATAGAAAATAAAATGGTCGGAATAGAATGATAGAAGGATAACACCTAAGAGACGTTTAGATATACTCATATCAGAAAAGGTGAATAGGAGGAATAAAAGTTCTCTAGTATTGAAGATATTAAAATGAAACAGAGGAGAAGTATTTGGTTGGGATCATGAGACTAGCAAGTAGTTGAGTGGCAGATTAAAGAGGGTAAACAAGAAAACTGGGATAGCAACAGAAAATGTAAATAGCATAGAGTAGTGGAAAAAAAGGAAGCAAAGCAAATAATGCCGTGGGAAGGTTTCTATCCCAAAGAAGGCACGAGAAATTATTACTAATAGCTTCAAATTTTCTTTCTTATGGATATTTAAAAAAAATTTTCTATGGAGATTTCAGAATTATGGTTAATTAGCAGCCTAATTATGTAGAAGAATTTAATGTTTGTGCTTTACAGATGAACTTATTTATGTATGAAATGGAAGTTTATTTGCATGGTTTTGCTTGTATTGAAACTGTTTAACATTGTGTTGAAGCATTGACTGTCTTCCCTTCTGTTTTCTTCAGGAAATCGAGGTATCTAACCTCAAAAGCCAACTTTCATCTGTTGAGACTCAGCTTAAAATAGAAACTGAGGAGAAAGTAAGTTTATGTTATTATGTAGGGAGAATTCTCAGATTAATCTTAAGATGTTTGTATTTTAATGTAACTTATCTTTGACTCTTTTTTTCTTGTCTAATCCTGTAATAAAGAATATCATGATTGTCAAGGGCCAATGGGTCAGAGGAAATAGGATATCAGCTTCAGGATCATTTACACATGAAAAGGAGACTATAAACTATCCAGTGTGTTACGTGTGTGTGTGTGCACATATGTGTGCATGTGCATTTGCATGCTTCCATTTGTGAATGGGTTTCAGAAATAGTGTCCAGGATAACAATTATGTAATAGAATAGAGTTAAACTAAACTGCTCCCTTTATAAAATGGAGAGGATGACCTTTGTGGTTATATTCTGAGGTCTTTTACTCCTCATAAGATCCCCAGAAGCAAGCAAGGCTTTACATATGACTTATAGTAAAAACAATGCAATTCTAAGTGAGAAAAGGTTACATAAAGCATAACCAGGTATAGTAATATTATCTGACTATAATTCTGATGAATTAAACCACAAACGGATCATGTACCTAACATGATAGTAGAAAATTCAGTCAATCAAATGAGCCTACACTAGGTCTTACATGTTATAAAATCTTCTGGTCTGTAATAGTAGTGTGCTGGTAAATGTTTTAACAGTCATCTCTTTAGGGGAAAAATTATTCTAGCATACTTTTAAGTTTCATCTACATTGTTAGCATTTTCTCCATTATTTTCTTAAGTCTAGACAATAAAACAATAAATCAAGCTCTAAGGTTTAAATGTTCACATTGAAAATATAACATTAGATTTTCTCATGTGGCTCCAATACACTCCTGTCTATTATTACTGTCTAGTATTGGAAAAGAGTGTGGGAGTGGGTCCTCTGCCCCTTCCAAGATTTGTTGCTGAGGGAGAAAGGTGCTTCTAACCTAAAGATAATATTATATTCAACGTACAGTTTTGATAACAAGAATGAATAGTAATTATTTTGCATGTTGGTGGTTTTTATTTCATGGCTGAAATTAGGAGCATAAGTGTTATTAGGACAGTTTGGCAAAGCTGTCAACATAAAAAATAGATATAGTACTGCCCAGCTTAAAAGCAGTGCCTATTATTTGGCTGAATTTTTTTCCAGATTTTGCACTACTTCTATTGAGATGCAACTTTTTGAAAAGAAATAACTGTTGAGAGTTGGTACTTATGGGGCCATTTTTTTTGACTTGAATAGAAAGAAACAAATCAAACACTTTTTGCCTTTCGTTGTGTTATAAGCTGCTAGAGGTTATGAATAACTCTTCTAATGTAATATACACATGAGGGTGTTTGATAAATGCTATCTGATTATGGTAGTAGTAATTATAACAATAGAATGATTTAAACTGAAAAGTTGCAAATAGAATCCTTATTATGAATATTTTTAATAGGAAAAACTTTTACGAGAAGCAAAAGAGAATATGGCCTTGCTCAAAGAGAAAAAGGATAAGGTAAAATTCTATTTTTCATAATTGTTTTCATAACCAATCTATCTTCTGAGGGCTTTTTTGTACAAATACCTAGAAGTTTTAGATAATACAAACTATTTCTTTTTTCTAAATCATGTTTATTTTTTTACATCCATATTTTAAAATTTAAGTTCCCAATTCTCTCCCTCACTTAAGCCCCTCCCTCATCCATTGATAAGGCAAGCAATATGATACCCATTATGCATGTGAAATCATATAAAACAACTTACTTTTTTAAATTTAATTTTCATTTTTAAGTTAACAAATATATATTTTCTTTCCTTCCCGTATCCCTACCCCCTTTGAAAAAAAAGAAAAGGAAAAAAACCACATAAATCATGACAAAAATGCATGGTCAAACAAAATTCATTCCTACATTGGCTATGTCCAAAAAATATACGTCTCATTTGACACCCTGAATCCGATATCTTTTGTAGGAGGTAGGTATTATGTTTCCTCATTTTTCTGGAATCTTGGTTGAGTTTTATGTTGATCAGAGTTCTTAATAAGTTTAAAGTTGTTCACCTTTAAAATCATTCTCTTGGCTCTACTCATTGTATTCTGCAGAAGTTCAATCAAGTCTACCTACTTTTCTCTGAAATTGTCTGTCATCATTTCTCCAACACAAGAGTATTCCATTACATTCATGTGTCATAATTTATTCAGCTATTACCCAAGTGATGGCATTCCCTTAGCTTCCAGGGTTTTTTTTGCCACTACAAAAATCACTTTTATAAATATTTTTGTACAGATGGGTCCTTCTCTTCTCCCTTTAATTTCTTTTGGGAAAGGAGGTGGTGGAATAGACCAAGTAGTAGTGGTATTGCTGGGCCAAAGGATAATTTGGAGGGCATAGTCCTAAACTGCTTTACTGAAAGCTGGACCATTCGACAGTTATTCCAACAGTATATAAAGGTACCTGTTTTCCTATTGCCTCTCCAACATTATTTTTTTGGTCATCTTTGCCAATCTGATAGTTGTTAGGTGGAATCTCAGAGTTACTTTAATTTGTATTTCTTTAATTATATATGATTTGGAGAATTTTTATGTGACAATTGACGACTTGTATTTTTTCCTTTGAATACTACTTGTTCATATCCTTTGACCATTTAATTGGGAAATGACTCATTCTTATAAATGGGTAAAATAAAATCAGTTCCTTATATGTCTTGGAAATGAAACTCTTGTTAGAGGAATTTGTTGCAAAGATTTTTTCAAGTTATCTGCTTTCTTTCTAATTTTAGTTGCATTGGTTTTGTTAGTGCAAAACCTTTAAAATTTTGTGTAATCAAAATTGCCCATTTTACATTTTGTAATCCTCTTTATTCCTAATCTGGTTATGAACAGTTTGCCTACCCATAGATCAGAAAGGTATTTTCTTCCTTGCTCCTCTAATTTGTTTAGGATGTCACCCTATAAAGGGTCTTAGTAATAGATCCATTTGGAACTTACCTTGGTTATGTTGCATGAGATGCTGGTCTCTAAATAGTTTCTGTCAGACTGTTTTCTAGTTTTCCTAGTAGGTTTTATCACAAATAGTGAGTTCTTATCCACATAGGTGAGGTCTTTTGGTTTAGCAAACATTAGGCTAACAAACTAACTTTTAAGGGGTTGGGGTGGGGAGTAAATTTGTATATTTTTAAGGCAACTTCATTTCCTAAACTGTTTTTTTTTCCTATTTATTGACATTTTAAAATCATTTTTTCACTTGGGACCTAAATAAATGAGAAACTTTTATGTCTATTAGTCATTATTAAGGAACATACTGCTATCAAATATTTACAAGATGCATTCAAATGCATATGACCTATTTTCTCAGCTTGAATTTTCTAAGATTTGTCACAGATGGTTTTCAGCATAATCCTAGAACTAGGTTCTTATTTGTTTCACCTTCATTCATCTGCCAAAGTAATATTCTTTGTTTGTTTTTTGTTTGTTTGTTTGTTTTTTAGGCAGTTGGGGTTAAATCACTTGCCCAGGGTCACACAAGTAGTAAGTGTCAAGTGTTTGGTCTGAGGTCAGATTTGAACTCAGGTCTTCCTGACTTCAGGGCCAGTGCTGTATCCACTGCACCACGTAGCTGCCTCCAAAGTAACATTCTTAAAGCATAACCCTAAACCATGTCTCTTTGCTACTCGATAAACTCCAGTTGCTCTTTTATTTTATTAATGTACCTAAAGGGTCTAATATAAATTCCTTGACATTTAAAGCTCTTCTTATCACTTGGCTTCAACCTGTCTTTCCAGCCTTATTTTACATTACTCTTCTACATGTACTCTTTGTTGGTCCAGCCAGACTCTCTGCTCTTACTCTCTTCATAAACAACCTTCCTTTTCCCATCCTTGTGTCTTTGTACAGGCTGTTCTCTATGCCACAGCACAACTTTAATTCAAAGTTTAGCTTAGATACTACCTCCTACATTTGACCTTTCTTGATCCCTCTAGCTGCTAGTGCCTCCCCAACAACAGCAACCAAATGCCTTGCACGTGTATATATTTTGGGTATACTTATTATATGTATACATAGTGTCCACCTTAATAAAATATAAACTCCTTGAGGGCAGAGATTTTCACTTTTGTCTTTGTATCCCCAGTGCTTAGTACAGTGTCTGGGGCATAGTAGACATTTGATGAATGGTTATTGATTGATTGATGTAGGCCGTGTCTAACAAACTTGGCAACAAAAATGTTAAGAATTACAACTATAATTTTTGGTTGAACCGATTAGTTGTGTCAAAGCAAAATCATAAATATTAGTGGCTCAGAAGCCCTAGTTGTCCTGATGACACTGCTGTGTGTGACCAAGACTAATGCATTCAACTAAAATTTTTAATCAGAATGATTTGAAAAAAATTTTTGAGAACAAAAAGTCCAATTTTCTGAAACTTGGATAAAAATAATTCTTGAGATAATTTTGCTGTAGTAGAAATGGAAGGTGGAGCTAGTTGTGGATCTGTAAGTGAATTTAAATATGAAAAGTAGCTTGTTCATTAGTAGGAATTTGGCAATTTCATATTTCTTTATGAAGATAGACTATATGCCAGTTATACCACAATGTTTGTCATTTAAGTTATGATAGGATACATTAAAAATAATGTGATAATAGTTATTATTATTTTTGCCCTTGTTTTAAAGTGTTAATGTTAATTTCAAATAAAATAAAATTTCTGTATTTTATCTGTGTACTGGTAGAAATGTTGCAAATAGCAAAAAAAGTGTAAAATAGAAGAAATAGGGACTGGACCTGTGATTTCATTTGTATAGGGATGCCAAGTCACCAGTTTCTCTGAAACTTATTGTCTTTCTAAGAGCCATTTCCCAATAGATAAATAGTCAAAGGATGTTAGCAAGCAGTTTTCAAAGGAAGAAATCCAAGCTATAATTAGAAATCTGAAAAAAAATGATCAAATCACCAAAAATTAGAGGAATGAAAATTAAAGTAACTCTGATACTCCATCTCACACCCATCAGAATGGCAAAAATAACAAAATGGGAAAATGACAAAATGTTATAGGGACTGTGGGAAACTAAATTGCCCTATAGGTAGAGCTATAAATTGTTCAAACATTCTGGAAGTGAACTATGCCCAAAAAAGTTACTAACCTGAACATGATTGTCTCAGCTATACCACTACTAACTCTATTACCAAAAGAAATCAAAGAGAAAAAGAATGTATATGGACAAAAATATTTATAATACTTCTTTTCATAGTGGTCAAAAAAAATTAAGGGAGTGTCCTCCTGTTGAGGAATGGCTAAATAAATTATGATATATGAATGTAATGGAATATCATTGTGCCATAAGAAATGATGAAATAGGCAATTTCAGAGGAAATGGGAAGACCTCTATGAACTGATGCAAAGTAGAGTAAGTAGAATCAAGAAGACAATTTATCCAATTATCACATCACAGAGAAAAATAACTTTGAAAGACTTTAGAGTTCTGTCAATACAGTGATAAACCATGTATCCAAATGAATGAAGATGAAAGTGCTACTTACCTCCTGCCAGAGAAGTGATGTAAATATTGGAATTAAAACAAAAAATGACACATATTTTTGGACATGGCCAATATGGAATTTGTTTTGCTATACTGACTATCTGTAATGAGGATTTTATTTTTGCTATTTTTGTTTTTCATTTGATTGGTGCAGAGAGATACTAAATGCTAAAAAATAATTAATTTTTAGAACTATAAAAAAGAAACTTAAAATCTTAAGAGTATTGTCTAGAACATTTAGAGTTTAAATGATTTGCCCAGTATGTTTCAGAGGGGGGACTTGAACCCAATTTTTCCTGGTTCTGAAGTTAGCTCTTTATGCACTGTTATACTGCCTGTTGCATATATATAATACACAGAATATATAGAAAATAGCTAAAAGAAAGTTTTAGGAGGAAGGATAGAGTAGGGATATTAGGAAGGGCTTCCTGTAGAGGGTGACTCTCGAATTGAGTCTTGAAGGAAATCAAAATTTTAAGTGGGAAAAGTAAGGAAGGAACTCTCGGCATAGAGGATGGCCAGTGGAAAGGCATGGGGATAGATATTTCTTATACGTGAGGGACAGAGAAAAGGCCTATTTAGTTGGATTGTAGAGTGCATAGAGAAAAGTAATATGTAAGAAGACCAGAAATATAGGAAAATGATCTGGTTGTAAAGAGCTTTCAATGCAAAATAAAGGGGTTTGTATTTGATCCTAGGAGCAACAAGCAACCACTAGTTTATTGAAAGGGGTGAGTGATGACATGGTTAGGCCTATGCTTTAGGAAAATCACTTTGGTGGAGGATAGATTGGATTGGGGATAAACAGGTAGGGAAACCAACTAGGACACTAGTATAATAGTCTAATCAAGAGATGTTGTAGGCCCAAACTAGGTGGTACCATTGAAAAAAAGGGTCAATATTGCTGAGATAGAATTTAGAAGACTTGCTAATTAATTGGATGTGAGGCTGAGGAAGAGTAAAAGTTAAAGCTGGCTCCGAGGTTGAGACCCTATGTGACTATTGTGCCCTTGACAAAAATAGAGAAACTAGAAAGAGTTTTGGGCAAAAAATAATGAGTTCTTGTTTTGGAAATGTTGAATTTGAATTTGAATTATTGGGACATCCAGTTGCACATATATATGTGCTACTGAACAAAGGTGGGGAAAATCATGAAACCATTCTGACTGGGTCCACTACAAATTTACGTTATACAACCTCAAGTGGGCCCTCACTGTTGCTAGGCAATCCTATATTTCCCTTACCTACTCTCTGCAATGGTTCTTCCAAACCTTTTTATCCCTCCTCAAACCTCCCATAGTTTCTTTTCCCCCCACCCTCTCAGCTGAGAACCTTGTCTGGTATTTTACAGAAAAAAATTGAAGCCATTTGCTATGAGCTCCCTCTTTTCCCTTTATTCCTCATCTCATACCATTCAGATGCCTTCTGCCATTATCTTCTCCTTCATCTCTGTCTCACATGAAGAGGTAACTCCTCTGCCTACTCAAGCAACCCCACTTCTATTCTGTCTCCTCCAACAAATTACCTTCTCTCATTTCCACTCTCACTTATCTTCATTATCTCCTGGTCTACTGGCTCATTCCTTACTGCCTTCAAACATGCCCAGGTCTCCCCTATCCTCAAGAAGTCTTTACCTAATTCTTCCATCTCTGTTGACTATCATCCTATATCTCATGTGCCCTTTGTGTCTAAACTCTTTGGGAAGGCTGTCTATAATAGATGTCTCAATTTTCTCTCTTCTCAGCTCTCTTAACCCCTTACTATCCAGCTTCCAACCTCATCATTCCACTGAAACTCTCTCCATAGTTATCCTTGATCTCTTAACTGCCAAATCCAGTGGCCTTTTCTTAATCCTTGTTCTCCTTGACCTCTCTGCAGCCTTTTATACTGCTTATCACTCTCTCCTTGATTCTCTTTTCTATGTTTTTAGGATACCACTCTCCTGGTTTTCCTCCTGTCTATCTGACCACTACTTCTCAGTCTCCTTTACTAGATCCTCATCCAGGTCCTGCCATCTAATTTTAGGTGTCCCTCAGGGTCCTGTCCTGGTCCTTCTTCTCTTCTCTCTTTATACTGCTTCATTTGTTCATCTCATCAGCTACCATGGATTTAATTACCATCTGTATGATGTTGATTCTCAAAGCTACCTATCCTGCTTCAACCTCTTTACTAACCTCCAAATCTTCTGTAATACTTTCTCTGATCTTTTTCTTTTGCCCCCTTTACCTTGTGTTATACTTGTCTGTGTATATGCTATATTCCACCAGGACACTATAAACTCCTTATGGGCAGTGACCATTTTTTTTTTGGCTTTGTATTCATAGTGGCTAATATTATGCCTTGCACACAGAAGGTGCTTAATTACCTAATCACAATTGAATTTTCTGATTTTTTATATACCATTGTTTGTAGCCTTTTTTTCCCCTATCCTCCCTCTGTCTTGTTTTTCTTCCACAAGGCTTTTTGCTTCCCAACTATCTACAGCCTTCAAATTCTCGGGGTTTTTTCTGTGCTCTCTTGGCTGTCCGAGAAATTTATCTTGCTTTGTGAGTGAAATGAATATACCTTAGATTATAGGTATTCATAATCTGGCCCCATCCTACCTATACAGTCTTCTTACTCTTTACGTCCCTCAGAGTTGGATGTTATTTGCTCATAATCTAAAAGCCAATAATAGAATACAAGCTAGAACCCAGGCCTCCTGAGTGCCAACTCAATATTCTTTTTAGTAATTGCCTTTTTTAATTAAGTAAATACATCTTTGAAATATTTTTACTGATGATTTTAAGTGCTTTTATTATCCAATGCAGAAAATACAAACGTCTGTTTTGGCAACTCCTGAAACCAGCAAGTGGAAATTTGATTCTAAAATAGATGCTTCAAAAAGTGAATCATTAAATTTCGTATCAGTTGATCATGTCCAATCAAAAAAAAGAGAAGAATCCTTTTGGACCCCTGCCAAAAAATCCTTATCTACACCATCATTAAAGGTTAGTTGCTTAATTTTTCAAAAAGATAACAATGTTATAGGTGTTTGATACTTTAAAAAAATCCTCTGGTGTTGGTAAGATTAATATCTATGCAATATCTCTATGCAGCTATTGTTTTTCAGAACGATATTTAAAAATTAGCATTTTGGTTCCTCGTTTCTATTATTTGCTTGTTCTCACATATTAGACAAATAATTTAATATCTCCATCAGTTTACATATAATATTATGTAATTAATTGAATTTATGAAATTTAGTAAACTACATTGCTTAGTCTCAGATTCAATTTATTTACATTGGCCTGAGTATGATAACCCTGATATTAAAGTAACCTTACATTTCAAGAAAAATTTTAAATTACTCTAATACATTCTTTCACTGAAATCTTACCTATTATTGATTACCATGACTTATATCAACATAGACAAAATATGCTTATTTACAAAACGTGACCTAGAGTAGTAAAATGAGCATTCAGTTCCTTGTTCCTTCTCCCTTTAAACCAGAGATACTTAGAATTAGTTTTCTAAATAATGATAGTAGTTTACATTTATGGAGCCCCAAACACTTTACATGCAGTATCTCTTATGGTCCTCATGAGTCTAAATATTATTCTTCTCAACTTGCGAATACATTTCAAACAGGTTGAATGATTTATTTAATGTCACACATCTTCTAAATGATAGAGCTGAGATTTGAACCTGAATCTCAGAACTTGAAATCCATTCAAATATTCTTTTCACATTACTTTTCTTCTAAAACAAGAAAAAAAAAACAACCTTTACAGGATTATAACAACAAGAGAGATTTAAGCGGATTTCATCACTGGTATTTAGTCCATCTGTTTGATTTTTCCTTAATGGCATTATTCCTTGGACTTTTTGAGATCCACCATTTATGAAAGGTATCCAATGGCAGTTGATGAAGAAGCAGCATCTGTTACTGAGGTGTCACATGTCTCAGAAGGAGCTAGCTGCTTGTCTACCATGGAATCCTCCATATGTTCACAATTCATGCAATAGTAGATGGCAAATCTTATTTGACCATTTTAATTTTCTTTAATAACTCTTATTTTGTATTTAGGGTCAATGTGGTATTATTTGGAAATGATGAGTGTATTAAAATAAGCTACTTTTATATGTGTAACATATTGCATAGTTTTAATGTCAGAAATTGAAGTATAATAAAACCGTTGTTCACTTTAAATTTTTTGAATCATTAAGTATACTATTAATATATATTATATGTTACATAATAAACTACTGTAAAACTCCCCCCCCCCCATGCAGTTCTCCCAACTCACTGGCAAGTTAGCCTCCCTGAGGGCATTGAATGTTACTTCTCCCCTTAGGATCCTAGGGATAATCCTGAGAGGCTGGGTTTCTCTAATTTTGTTGTGTACATGCCTCACTATGGTAGGTTCCTCATTAATTATCAGCCAGGATTAATTAGCTTTTAGAAAATGACATTTACTAAAGTAGTACAGTAAAATCAGTTGGCACAAAACATTGCCCCCCAAAAGCCTGGGGCACACTCTCTCACAAGTAACCACAAAAGTCATAGGAAGATTGGACTTAAATTTAGTGCAGTGATGGTGAGGCACACTTGTTGTCATGAGGCAACCCATGATGTCAAAGGATAAGTTAATAATTCCTGATTACTGGAAGTACTTTCTTGATTCCAAAGATGTCTTTTTTTCCCCTGGTTTAAGGGATCACAAACTTTGAAGCTGCTTTTTCCCTTGGATAGTTATCTTTCAGCATTTGTAATGTGTCTATGTTTGTCCTTGGTATATCTCTACTCTGGGCTGGTTGTGTTGTCTTCTTTTGGTCCCTTCTCTCCAATGATATAGTTAGTGGAAGGAAGAGTGAAATCTTTTACTTCTGGGATGGACCTTTGTGGATTGAGTTCATTGAAGGACTGACTATTTTATGAGTAGGTTCAGTAAGTGCAATTGATCGTCTAAGGCAGTCATATCACTTTCTTTTTTGACTTAAAGAGATCACAGAGAACAAACAATCTGATTACACATTTAAAACTTCATTAAATTGATTGATTGGATTAAAGAAAGAGTCTCACCTTTATACTATGATAAACCAGTACCTAAATCTTTTCTTGACAGTAATTCAAGTTTTTATACTTTTCAGATCACTAGGGAAACATTTGGTAATGTATTGTTATTCTCTGCTTAATCTATTTTTTCTGGATATGTTAGGTCCTGAGGGAATAGCATTGATTCTTTCAGGTACTAAATGACATTTTATTGACTTTGAAGAATTAATATGCCTTCCTATGTAAAATTTTCACAGAGTAACAGTGGGAAAAAAAGAACCTATTTTGTAAAGTATTGGGGTAATATATGAAGATAATAGTTTCCATATTTCCTAATATTTGAATTCATTACATAATACTGGAGACTAGATCCTTACCTCACAAAATTTAGAAAGAAAATACATGATGAAGTTGATTTTCTCATCCCATGGCAGTATTCACCATCACTTTCTGGTTCATACCCTGAAAATTCCCTTTTATATTTAATGTGGTTATTAGACACACTGATTCCCTCTTTATAATGATCACTGCATGTTAATTCTAAAGTTTTTTTAGTCCATATTTCTTAACTGAATGATAACTTTTTCTAGGAAGTTTTCAAAACCTGCATTGCTAAATATATCAAGAGAAATTTTTTATCTATAAATTCTTTTTTTTAGGTAAATGTTTGCACAGAGGCTTTTTAATTACCAGAGAACAAAAACTGCCTTTGGGGAAAAATTCTTTTAATCTTATCATAAGTTTTATATATGTACTTATCATTGTAATTTTTTCTTTTCTTATGTAAAGGCATATACTGTGAAGACACCAACAAAATTGAAAATACTGCAGAGTGAAAAGAAGAATCCATGCAAGGAAGGAACAGTTAGAAAAAGAAAAATACTATTTGATTTTGATACAAATTCAGATAGTTCAGATCACAATGACCTTTTGGTAAACTTATTACTAAGATGTGGGATTTCTTGTACTACATTTTTAAAAAATTATTTGCATTTATAGCATTATTAATGGCATAGTTATCATTATTATATTGAGAGTCAGTTGAATCTTGGTATAATGTACCTCTTTATTATATAGATTTAGATATTCCATATCCAGATCCAATGTGGATATACCATATTCATGCTATACCACGTATAGATTTGACTATATTGTGTTACTTGAAGTATGACTAAATTAAAAAAAGGTCTGTTATAATGTGATTAGTCTAAATGGGTGATACCCTTATTCTCTGATAAAAGGTTATGAATAGAGCTATCAAAAATGAAATAGACTTAGTGTGATAGCAAATTCTCCCTTATTGGAGGTCTTTAGGTAAAGATTTTATGTCACTTATGGATGCTATAGAAAATATTCCTTTACAAATATAGTTGGATTAGAAGATTTCTGACTGAGATTACATGATTCTGAAATAGTGCTATTGACTGGATTGTCACTTCAGGAGAAAATTTTTGTGTGTTCACAACTTCTTTTGGTACCTTAATTATGATTGACATTTAATTTGCTACAAGATTAATGAACTTGCTACATACTTAGTACACACATATTTGTAAAGTTATTTTAAATGTAAACAGCATAAACAGAATTTCGGTACACACTGGAGATGAGACATTGATTGATGAGATGAGAATCTTGCTCTTCTCTCTCAAATATTACATAGGTCAAACTCATTTTCCAAATATTTACTTAGTATAGATTTGTTTTCACAAGTTCAATCAACTGGAGTTATAAATTGATATAACCTCCCCCGCCCACCTCAAATATGCACATATTTTTGCTTTCTGCCCTGGCCTTACAGCCGAAGCAAAACTTCATATAAACTGCAGAATCAATCAATCATAAACATTCATTAAAGTCCTGTTATGTACTAGATAATCTACTATGTGCCAAATACTCTCCTAGGTGCCAGTAATCCAAATACAAAACATACATCCTATCAGAAGCAAGAATAGGTCATGTCAGATTAATTTCCTTTTTTTTTTTTTTATGCAAGGTTTCCAGACCAGTAGATCAGGGGAATTCTATAGGAAGTTGATGGAGATTTCAACAAGCATTTGATGAATTCTCCCATGTCATCCTTATAAAGAAGATGAAGAGATGTGGGCTAGATGAAATAATAATTGTTTTCTTACTTTGTTTGATGTCTGAAACCAGAGAATAGGTATTAATGAGTTGATATCAACATAGGGAGAGGTCGCTAATGAAGTGCCCTAGGGATATGTCCTTGGTTCCATATTTTTTTAACATTTTTATTTATAACTTTGATGAATGCAAATGATAATATAGTGCATGACAGAATCTGTAGCTGAAAAATACTTTGAAAAATGGGCCTAAAAAGATAATGATTTCAGAGACAAATGTAAAATCTTACACTTCATTTAAAAAAACAGCAGCAGTTTATCAAGTACAAGATTAGAGATATGTGGCTAGACAACTGCATGTAAAAAAGAATTGGAAGTTTTACTGGGCCATAAATTTAATATGAATTAAAAATGCAACATGGCAGCTAAAAAAACTAATATAAACTTAAACTGCATCAATTGATGCATGGTGTCAGAACAAGAAAGGTGACCATTCTTTGCAATGTCATCCTGGTCAGGCCATGTCTAGAGTAATTTAATTCTGATAGCTACATTTTGGGAAGGACACCAATAAGCATTTAGTAAAACAAAACACAGCACTCTTTGAACAGATATCTCCCATGCATATGTCAGAAATTATACAAGGTTCCTTAAAGGATAAGATGGAAGTAACCTTGTTCAATTACCCTCTATTAATATTAAGTAAGGCATAAAAAAGGTAGACATGAGTTTTTCAAAAGTATTTGCCACTGTTATTGAGTTGTTCCTGCACACTCTCCAAGTTGAAGAGATTCCATGTAGATAGGAAAGTCCTTGAGATGCATCCTTGTGAATGTTATTGTATTGTTTGAATCAAGTCCTAGAATATTACAAATCCTCCTTAATGAGAACCATAATCCCTCAAAAGAATTTGATATGATTATCCATAAAGAAAAAACTAAGTAAAGCATGTTTATTTTCTAGACAATACAATGCAGTTGGATAGACAATATATAGAGCTTGTCCATCATTACATACAATATGCATACACACAAATATATATACATTTTGGACAGAAACTGAGAATTAATTAAGCTAGTCCCAGTATCAGACAGGAAGAGAAGAGCTAGCTAGATTGTCTTTGAAAACTTTAATAACCCAAGCTTCTCTCTGAAACAAAAACCTATATTTTAATAATAGCATTCTAATAGTGATGTTATATGGATCTGAATCATGGAAAACTAAAGAAGTGAAGTTGAGAATTACCCACAGAGGTACATGGTGGGTGTAAGCAGGTTTCAAGACATTACAAATAGGTAGAAGTGGTGTAAAAGATGTCACCAAAGACATGTATGATTGAAAAAATAAGATGAACATAGAAAAATAAGATGTGCTAAGATTGAGGGATGGTTGATGAACAGCTCACATGCTCTATTTATATCCTTGCCATGTCTTGAAAAAGTGAGGAAGGCACCCCAGGAGGTTGGGGGTACCTCCTGCAACTTATGAGAGGACATGGACAAAAGTCACATAGGAAGGGCAAACATGTATGGATTGTGATTGACATTGTTGGAGGATCTATCTACATTGACAAGATTATGGATAGGTTGGAATATTGATAAAATGGAGACCTTTAAGAAGAGAGAGAGCCAACAAGATAATGAAAGGTATTCAAAGCATGCATATGATGATAGGTCAAAAGTACTAGAGATATTTATTCTGGAAAAGTAGATTTTGGAGAGATAAAGCTGTTTTGAAAAAAGACTTTTCCTGCTTAGGACTAGACTACAGAACTAGGAGTAATGGGTAGAAGTTACAGAAAGGTAGATTGGAAGAATGTAAGGGAAAATTTCCTAACAATTAGAACTATCCCAAATGGGTTACCTCTCACTAGGAATCTTTAAACAGAGACTTGGGGGGTGCTGTAGAGAGGATTCTTGGTATGTGTGACTTGGATTAAAAGGCTTCTGACATTCCTTCTAAATCTGAGAATCTGTGATTCAGTTTACCTGATTGATTGGTATTCAACTAATGCGGTAATTATATTCTATTGCCTCATATTACTCACATGCCTCCTGCCTTATGCATAACATGGAAGTGACCTTTGGTTCTCAAAGGTTATGCAGCAGAACTAAATTCTGTCAGTTTACACAGTTGCAAGTATGATTTGGCAAACAGATTGTTTTCAGGTCTAAGAAGTGACCAAACTAAGTATGGGGAGGCTCATCATCAGAAGGTTGGTCATGTATTGAGGTTACTTGATGAAAATGAGAAAAGACCATCAGGATTTTGCCAGTTCAATCAAAGTCAACAAATATATATTAAGTGGCTACCATGTACAAGGTACTCTATTAGGCTCTAAGGGTATAAAGATAAAAATAAAACAGTCCCTATCCTCAAATAGCTTATATTCTATGAGGAGATGGCAGGGTGAGGAGGGTGAGAATAAAATGTATACACTGGAAATGCAAGTTATTTTGAGAAGAAAGATGGCACCAACAACTAGGGAAGGTGGCAGGGATCAGGGAGTGCTTTACAAAGGAGATGGCACCTGAGCTAAGCCTTGAAGAAAGATAAGGATTCTGAGAGGTGGAGATGTGGAGGTAATGACTGCCTTACAGCTCTGAGGAATTGCTTAAGTATACATTAATACATGAAGGAAGGAGATGAGCTAATGAATTATGGAATTATTAGTAGTTCAGTTTGGTTGGAATTTGCAGTATATGAAAATGAAAGGTAGGTTGGAACCAGAAAGTGGAGCAGCTTATTTGCCTTTCTTGAGGAGTCAGCATGTTCTAGAGGTAACAAGAAGCCTCTGAAAATTTTGTAGTAGTAAAGTGGCATTATCAGACCTGTGCCTTAGAAGATTATTTTGGCAACTGTGTGGAAAATGTGATGGGAGTATTAACAGAAGGCAGAAAAATGATAGGAGTCTATAGTAGTCCAAATGAGGGATTATTAGGTCCTGAACTAGAATGGATGGTAGGGAAATAGAGATATTTGGTATATAACTTGACTTGCAACCAAGCTGTGTAGGAGAAAAGCATCCCTGTGCTCCTGCAGCCTATAGAATGTGATTCCAGATTGGTGGAGAGAACATGGATGTGACCCTGTGTCACTGCATGAGGGGCAGAGTTGGTCCAAGAGCTTTGGAAATGAAAAACATTTTTTATTTTCTTGATTCGAGAGAGAAAATGTGTGGTTCTGGACCCTCTTGGGAACCAGTGCTGAATGTGGCTCATAGAGAGGCATGAACAGAGATCTCTGGAATCTTGTCCATTGCTTTCCCAGAGAAACTGATTCTTGCCTTGAGAGGAACAGGAGGAGGAACCATGAGACTGACCATTATGTTCTCTCCTGAGAAAGAGAGAGGTCCCAGTATAGAATTATATCTATCTGTCCCCATTGCCCCCCCCAAATATTTCTGATATAAGTACATGGGGTTTTTTGGGTTCAAAAAGCTACTTTACTGGCCACTATCTCCTAAGGGGAAAAGGTACTCCAAACTTTTACTCACTGGTTTGGTCCCTTCCCACCAAATATAAGTTATACATTAAACCATCACAAATAAAGAATAGTAAGAAAATCCATTTATTTAAGCAAAAAATGAACAGAGGTTGGTGAAGTTATACAGATTAAAATATACCAGAAAACTCACATGAGTGAATGACCTCTTTAGATGAGAGTGAACTGCGATCTCACTTAACAGAGAGGACCCAATCTCACAATAACAAAACAATAATAATAATAATAGCATTTATATAGTGTTTTAAGGTTTGCAAAGCACTTTATGAATATTATCTAATTTTATCTTCATAAAAATCATGGGAGGGAGGTGCTATTATCCCAGTATTATGAATGGAGAAACTGAAGCAGACAGAACTTAAGTGACTGGCCCAGGGTTATACAACTGTCACATTACTGTACCACCTACGTACAAATAAGGAATATATGGAGGAGCTGATTTTACCTACTTGTCTGCTTTCCAAAATCTCTCTCTCTGTACTTTTCAAATTAGTCCTCAAGAGAGTATAGAGCTATGCATGCCCTCTCTCAAAGCAAGAATGAAGAATTCTCTCTAAAACTCCTGAATCAATTCTGTCCCTCATGCAGTCACAAAGGATTGTGTCCACAGTCTTTCCACTAATCCAGAATCATGATCTACAGGCAGCATGCAACACAGGGCTACCCCTTCTCACCATATTGATAGTACGGTCATGGGTAACAACAAACTTTTCCCCTTAAGATTAGTAATGAAGGGAAAAACAATATGGAATGACTAAGGGAAGGATTTTTTTAAGTTTGGAAAGACTTTCACTATGTTCATAAACAGGAAGAAGCCATTGGTGAGGGATTGACATGCATGGGAGTAAACTATTGGAGAAATATTAATTGCTTATGAATGAGTCAAGCCAATATAATAAAAATGACCTTTTTACCTAAATGTATTTATTTAGTGCCATACTAATCAAGCCACCAAATAATTATTTTATGGGAAATTATTTTATAGAAAAAATAATAATTTGTCTGGAAGAACAAAAGATCAAGAATATCAAGAGAATTGATGAAAAAAATGTGATGGAAGGCAGCCTCATAGTAACAGATTTCAAACTATATTATAAAGTAGTGATCACAAAGACAATCCAGTTTTGGCTAAGATATAGAGTGGTGGATCAGTGGAATACATTAGGTACACAATATATAGTAGTAAATGATGGTAATAATCTAATGTTTTATGAACCCAAAGATTCAAGCTTTTGGGCAAGAATTCACTATTTGACAAAAATTGCTGGGAGAACTAGAAAGTACTTTAGAAGAAGCTAGGCATAGATCAACATCCCACAACAAATACCAAGATAAGATCAAAATCACTACATGATTTATACATAAAAAATAATATCATAAGCAAATTAGGGGAGGATGAAAAAAATTTACCAGTCAGATCTATGGATAAGGCTATATGTATCAAGAGAGAGAACTGATGAACTCAGTGCAGATTGAAGCATGCTTTTTTTACTTTATTTTTCTTGCTTTTTTTTTTCAACATGGCTAATAAGGAAATATGTTTTGCACAACTTTACATGTATAATTGATATCATATTGCTTGCTTTCTCAATGGCTGGGGGAAGGATTGAAGGGAGGGAGAGAATTTGAAACTCAAAAATTTTAAAAAATGTATGTTAAAGTTTATTTTTAAAATATATAATTGGGAATATTTAACAAAATAAAAATACACCAGAACATAGATATATATGTGTGTATATACATACATACATACATACATACATATATATATATATATATACACACATATAAAGAAAACACATGAGAGAATAAGAATGACTGCTAGAGCAAGGTCCTTGAAGATGTTGGAGGAAATGAGATTAAGAGTGCAAATTGAATTTTTGGACATAGTAAATGTGGGAATTTGTTTGACATATGCATATTTGTACAAGGATTTTCTTTTTCTTTCAATTTGAATGGAAAGGTAGGAGAAGGGGGCTAGTTATAATGTTGCTGAAAAAAGTAAGAGAAGGAAGGCAGGGAGGAAGGAAGGAAATCATTAGAACATTTTTTAATGTATAGAGGAGAACAGAAGGTCAGAAGGAAACATATACAAGTAGGACAGCTTTAGAAAGTTACATATTGAATTTATTATATTGTTGTTCAGTTGTGTTTGACTCTACATGACCCCATGGACTTATTATCCATGGAATTTTCTTGGCAAAGATACTGGAGTGATTTGCCATTTCCTCCTCCAGTATGTCTCTATTTATAGATGAGGAACTGAGGCAAATAGAGGTTAAGTGATTTGCCTAGGATCACACAGTAAGTATCTGAGGCCAGATTTTAACTCAGATTTTACAGGCTCAGTGTTCTATCCCCTGTACCACCTACCTGCATACAAGGAAAAACAAGCTATATGTAATGGAAACTCCCATTTTCATGTGAAATCCTCTTTTCTGGAAATGCTAGTTTTATTCGGTGTTTGTTAAATTCAGAACAATTTTTTAAGTGCTTTGTAAACCTTAAAATTCTATGGGAAAAAGAAAAAAAAGGAAAGATTGAGAGATTAGCTTTAACTAGTAGGAATAACTCTTCTTCTGTGACCAAAGGGAAGGAGGGGGGATTTGCTAATTATATAGAAGCTTTGAATAATGCAGGAAAGCAGCTTAGGTGCCCCCATTTTGATGGCTTTAGTCTTATGTTATAATTTACCTCAGTTTTTGAGGGACTATATTTCTGAAATTCAAATATAAATAAATGGATAAATATAATACATAATGCAGTTTTATTTATGTTATACAATCTTCTGTAGAATATATTGAGTAAGGTTCAAACTTTAAGTGATGAAATTATGAGATTTTTGATTTGAGGATATTTAAACTAGATTATCTCTGAGGTGAATATATAATACAATTTTAAGAATATAATAAATTTAATATTGATTATGATACCATAAAAAAGAAAACATTTTTGAAATTTTGATTTCCATTTCATTATCTTTTCTTTAAGAGCATGGTTTCAGATGAAGACACATTACAAAAACTATATGAAGGTTATCCTCAAGCTTCTTATCAAAGTGTCACAACACCAAAGAAGGTAAAATTATGGGTTTTAATTCAGAAACCAAATTTTAAAAGTTGGAGTTATATCACTCATTAAACAGAAACATATTTGTGATCTTATTTTTATTCTAGAATCATAGACCTTTATCTTTAACAACTCCAGGATCAGCATTGAAATTTGCAGCTATGAGAAAAATGCGACAAGATGGCTGGGCTGCAGTTTCTAAAATGGACAGGAAAAAAAAAATGAAGGAAGCAGAAAAGCTATTTACTTAAAATTTAGTTACATAGTTGAATTAAGTGGTATAATAACATAAAATTTGTTACCATAGATTTTCTTCTTCTTTTTTTGATAGTTTATACTTTTCTATTTAGGCTGTAGATTTTCTAGAAATAGTTTTAAGTTTCTTTTGCATTTGCATAAAGTATTCATTTCTTTAATTTTCCTCTGCTACATTTTAGGCTCAAGAGTAAATAATTGCATGTTACTTGAAAAGTTATAACTATAGTCAAGTTGTTGAATACAGTTTAGCTATTACTATTATCTTGATTCAGATTATTATTGCTAAAGATTGTTTTTAAAGAAGATTGTTAACTGAAATTTACTGTTGATTTTTGTTTCAAACAGCATTTATTTTTTAGCTCCGCTATGAAACCATTTTGGCCATAAATAAATAGTTCTTATTGGCCCAGTGAGGTCAGCCAAACAGTTAATCTAACCTTTTTGAGAAAAGCATTCTGGTTAAAGCTTTGACACATTACTACAAAGTTAGTTATTGAAATATTATTTTGTCATGTGCTGAAATCTCTCACATAAATAACTTTACATGGATTTTTAGGATTCATATGTATATACAAAAATTTCATATAAATGATATTTTATGTATATTATATACATAAATAATCTCTATATGTATATGTAATTATATATGCAAAAATCTTTCATATAAATAATTTTTATTTTTAGATATTTCTGAGAGAATTTTGCATATTTACAAGGATTCTGAATTCTCTTTTTCCTCTATACTATTTCACTTGATGATCTCATCAGCTTCTATGAATTCAATTATCACCTCTATGCTAATGATTCTCAAATCTACTTTTCTAGCCCTAATCTCTTTGCTGATCTCCAGTTCCTGTCTTTAACTGCCTATTAGATATCTCAAACTAGATGACCTAAACATCTTGAATGCAATATGACCAAAACTGAAATCATTATCTGTTGAAGACATCTACTGCTGTTGAAGGCACCACCATCATGCCAGTATCCCAGGCTCACAATGAAGGTGTCATCCTCCACTCCTCACTCTCACTCACTTCCCATATTCAATCTATTGCCAAAGCCTGTCAATTTTACCTTCATAATATCTCTGGCATGTGTCCCCTTGCCTTCCTTTCACACTACTATCCTGCTGCAGGCTTTCAGCACCTAAAACTTATACTACTGCAACAGTCTGCTAGTTGGGCTTCCTGCTACAAATCTCTCCCCACTCTAGCTCATTTTCCACTAAACTGTCAGTAATTTTTCTAAAGGGCATGTGTGACTATGTTACCCTCCCAGCTCAGTAAAATCCAGTAGCTCCTTATCACCTCCAGGATCAAATATAAAATCTTATGGTTAGTATTCAAAGCCCTAGTAACCTGCTCCCTTCCTCCAACTTTCTAGTTTTCTTACACCTTATACCCCTCCTTGATATCTAAGATTCACTAGTACTGGCCTCTTTGTTTCTTGCATAAGAAACTCCATCCTTCTCCAGGGTCTAGGCATTTTCACTGGCCATCCCCATATTTGGAATGCTTTCCCATCTCAGGCTTTCCTCCTCAGGTTTCCCTAGATTTTCTTCAAGTCCCAGCTAAAATCCCACCTTTTATAGGACAGCTTTCCTGATCCCCCTTAATTCTCGTGCTTTCTTCCTGTTCATTATTTCTAATTTGTCCTGTATAGAGCTTGTTTTTACATAGTTGTTTGAGTGTTGTCTCCTTCATTAGGTTGTGAGCTCCTTGAGAGCAAGGACTGTCTTACCTTTCTTAGAATTCCCAGTGTTTAAGACAATTCTCGGCACATAGTAGGCACTTAATAAATGTTTATTGACTGACAGTAATTGGCTGATATTCTGGTTTCTGACCTTGTTGACCTTTTTTTTTTTTGAAAGAGTATTTTGTTCGATTCAATTCAGTTTGAATTCATCAAACATTTTTGTTCATTCATTTTCAGTCACGTCCAGCTCTTGATGACCCCACTTGTCTGTTGTTTTGTTTTGGTTTTTTTGCAAAGATACTGGAGTGGTTTGCTATTTCCTTCTCCCACTCATTTTACAGATGAGGAACTGAGGCAAACAGGGTGAAGTGGCTTGCCCAAGGTCACACAGCTAATAAGTGTTTGAGGCCAGATTTGAACTCAGGAAGAAGTCTTTCTGATTTCAGGACTGGCTTTCTATTCTCTGTGCCACCTAGCTGTCCCTTATCAAACATTAACTTCTATTATATTCAAGACAAAGAGGCAGTGTGGTCATACCAGAGTCTGTGAGGACAACTTGGATTCAAGTCCTGTCTCTGATGCATGCTGGCTGTATCATATGACACTGGCCAAGTCACTTAACCTTCTTCATCTGATCCTCTTGGTTTTGACTTCATGAACACAATGTCACAGTGATAGTTACCCTCCAGTGGTCCCCCCTCTCCCCTCCTTTTTAAATTTCCTTTTATGTAATGTCTTCCTTCATTAGATTTCAATCTCTTTGAGAAAGGACTGTATTTTTCTTATTTTTACCCTGTGCTAAGCACTGTGCCTGTCACACAGAAGCAGTTTAATAAATATTTATTGACTATTGGCTTAACTTTCAGTGCCCCTGGGCAACTCTAAGTCTGCAGTTGCAGAACAGATGCTGCTTTACATAGGTAAAAAGACTTCACTCACTGGGAAATCCCTACACTGATAAAATCGTAGGTACAGACAAAACAAAGTTCAAGACACTGCTAGATGCTGGGGATACAAAGACAAAACAATCCTTACTCATAGTGAGTTTATGTTCTGTAGGAGTGGAATATAAAACATGTATACAGATCAGTAAATAAAGGTAATTTAAGGAGAGGAGGGAAAGGGCATTAACAACTGGAAAGATTAAGGAAGGCTTCAAAGAGGAGGTGGTATCTGATTTGAAGTTTGAAGACAGGCAGGCAAAAAGTTTGAAGGGAAGTGCATCCAAGGCTTAAAGGTTTGGATGTGGGATGGGCATGGGGATAGCTTGTGAATATACATGGAGGTGGGAGAATGAATGTTGAATTCAGCAAAAAACTAGTATCCCAGTTTGGCTGGAATATGGAATATTCAAAGGGGAACAATGTGAAATAAGACTGGAAAAACTGATTGGAAGGTGATAGGGGCTAATTGAAAAGTTTTTAGAAGGGGAATGATATGGTCAGACCTATTTTTTTGATAGCTATGTGGAGGATAGATTGAGAATGAGAGAGATAGGAATCAGAGAGACTAAGAGGCTATGATAATATGCAAGGTGAAATTGTTGAGGTTCTAAATTAGGGTAGTGGCTTGTATATGGAGAAAAGGAGACATGCAAGTGATGCTACAGCAGAATCAATAAGATATGACAACTCATTCAATATGGGGGTGTAAGGATGGGGAGAGAAACATAAAGAATTATTCCAAAGCTATGAACCTGGGTGACTGAGAGAATGGTAGGGAAGTTTAGAGGAAGGACAGGGTTAGATTAGAGGGAAAGATAATGAATTATATTTTGGACATTTTGAGTTTGCGTTGTTGAGGGCATATTTAGATGGAGATGTCCAGGAGGAACTTGGTGATGAAGAACTAGAGCTCAGAAGAGAGATTAGAGTAATGTCTAATCTGTGTATTTAGAAGTCATTTATGCAGAGATGATAATTAAATTTGTGGGAGCTGATGAAACCAACGAGAGTAATGAGGCAGTAGAGGCTTAGGACAGAACCTTGGAGAGAGACTCATGCTTAGTGGATGGGTTATGATGAACCAGCAAAAGGAAATAAAAGGGAACAATCGTTTATATGGGAGAACCAGGAAATAGCAATATAATGGAAACCAAGGGCAGAAAAAGTATGTAGGAGAAGTAAGTGGTGATCATGAAATGCTGTAGAGGACAAGGAGATAGAAGTTTAAAAAAAACCATTGGGACTAGCAGTTAGATTATTGGTGACTTTGGAGAGAACAGCTTCAGTAAGGTGGTTGGGTTAGAAATGAGATTCTAAAGGTTTGAAAAAAGATTGAGTGGTGAGAAAGTGGAGGCATCAGGAATAGAGTAAGTGAGATGTCAAACACTCTGGCCCAAACCAGATTAAAATGTATCTCAGAAATATTTAACAAAATAAATAAAAACATAATCAAATATAGATAACATTACATCTTAAAACTAAGTTGATATGTAGTCCGCAGGCAACTTTGTGTATGCATTGGTAGACCCATTCTTTTTGAGTCATACACCACTGGTGTGGCTACTTTTGGAACTGGGCACTGAAAAAAAAGGAGAGCTATAGAATAATAGCTTGAGGTATTGAATAATTAATAGTCCTGATTATGGAATGTTAGTATATAAAATGGTTCATTTAAAATATTTTTATTAAAATGAAATTAGTTGAAGTCCTCTAGTTTTCTAAGAACAATTAATTCAGTGTAGTATAGTAGGAAAAGCCCTGGATTTGGCGTTAATAGATCTAAATTCAAATCCCATTTGTGCTACTTACTACTTGTATGACTTTGGACAAATAATTAACCCCTCTAGGGTTAAATATTGTCTCATCTGTAAAATGAGAGGGTTGGGCTAGCTATCTTTGAAGCTTTCTTCCAGCTCCACATCCATGATTCTATGATTTCTAAAGTTCCTTCTAATTTTAAATCCTTTGATCCAGTGAATAAAGCACTGGCTCTGGAATGAGGGAACCAGGGTTCAAATACTGTCTTTGATGCTGTCTGTGTGGACAAGTCACTTAACTTCCTTCCTGGGCCTCAGTCTCCTTAATTGCAAACTGAGAAGGTTGGACTGAGAAAGGATTCCAAGGTCCTTTCCAGGTCTTGATCTATGATCCTATCACACACACACACACACACACACGTGCGCACACATATACACACACACACACATATACATATACACACACACATAGAGGGGAGAGATATGTTTATATATATATATATATACACACACACACACATACACACATATACATATACATATGCATATATGTACAAGCCATTCCTCATTCTTCCATATTGACTAGAACAATCTCTT